CAAAGGCTCACCCAACCAGCGATCATGGTGTGCCTGAGACACACATGAAGGAGGAAGGATTTACTTTGGTTTAATGTTTCAGGAGTTTTGGGTTAGGTTGTTCAGTCTTGTGTGTTTGGACAGCATGTCACAGCATGGGGAGTGTGTGGCCTGTGAGAAACGTTTTTTGTTTGGTTTGGATTTTTGTTTTTTCTATTGCGGATAGTTGGCCTTAGGTTCCCCTCTTCTCTTTGTGCTGGCTGGTTTATCATGGCAGAACAAGAAGTACATTCCCACCAATGGTGTCAGACTCAGTTATTGCCTACGTAGTTATAAAAGACAGCAACGAGTTTGGCGAGAGTTGCTGCTTCCTTGCCCAGTTTAGGATCTGGTGCATCCCCTTTTCAAAAAGAAGTTGTTGCTCTCGTTGTTCATGGGCTTCTTGTTCTTTATCAACAGGCAGGAGGGAGTCTTTTCTCTCTGGTGGACAGGAAGCACTGCACTGAGAATGTGTCCATTGGAGCCTTCAAAGGCCCATCTCCAAAGACCCACTGCTCCAGCAAGGCCCCACTTCCCAGTGTTAACAGCTGGATCCCCACAACATGATGAGCTGTGAGTAACACTTTGTATTCAAGACCTAATAGATGGGGTCAATTATTTGACCTCTTTATGGTTCTAATTTACTCCTGCAATTTTGATTAAAACATTAACCCTGTCTCAACTATACAAACTGCCATGTGCATGAATATTGGCTCCATGCTTCCAGGATCAAAAACTATTATTTGAATTGTTTTCTAAAATTTAGTGTTCACTGGCCGTTTCTAATATAATTAATGGCTTGGGTTTTCACATATTCTGTGATCTTATGTTATCACTCAACTCCCTGTTTCTGTTTCCTGATCTCAATCATTTTGTATTTGACTAGCACTATATGGATATTTATTTCAAGGCTCCTTTTATTTCGTTTAGCTGAAGACTTGATAAGGGTGAAATTTTTATCACAACCTTTGTCATTAATAACAATAGAGAGCACTTATTGCTCTTGCAGAGGCCTTAAGTTGGATCCCCAGCACCCACACTGTGTCTAACAACTGCCTGCAACTCCAGGTCCAGAGGACCTGACACCTGCTCTTTTGCATTCAAGGGCACACAAACATAGTACACAGACATATATGCAGATGAAACCCTGCAAAACCCTAAAAGAAAAATAAAACTTATATAAAGATAAAAAGAAAAAGAAAAATACTCCAAGATATTATGTAAAGTAAAATCATGTTTCTTTCAATGAGCATTAGGCAATAGAATTTGAATTAAAAATCATTAGCCAAGATTCCAACAGATTTTCTAAGCCACAGATTGCTATAAACAATGGGTGACAACTCACCTCTGTAAGGACAAAAATCACATTTTATTGGATAGTTAGACTCATCTTGGTGCCAAAGGTATCTAAAGTTTCATCCTATGTGCAGGAAAAGTTAGCACTCACTATTCCTTATTCACCTGGTACAAACACTTCCTTCCTAAAGAGGCAAACAAAAAATCTGGCTTAATTTTCATCTCTCCAAAACTGAAATAATCCTAACTCCACAAAAAAGTCAGAGCATGCATTAGACAGAAAACAATCATAAGGGAATAAACTTCTGTTTAAAACTAATGCACATGCATATGCTATACTTACTAGGGGTAATAGCACGCAGAAGTGAGAAAGAAAATGGATTTAGACTCTGTGAACTTTGTGGTGATTCTGAACTGAGGTCCTTGGCAACCCCCATTGGGAGTGATTGGGAATAGACCTTTTAAAACTGTGAGCATTTCTACATTTCTGTTTACTACTGAGTTAAATGATGGTCGCTTCTTGCCCTTAAGAATCTTAGAGCTTATTACGGCCCCATTTGTACCCAAACTTTAGTTTTATTTTCTACACACCCTCATAGATCCCCTTCAATATTTCCTCATCTATAAGCTTCACAACTATTTCTGGCGAGGACAGACCCTTCTCTGTCTCCAGCAGCTCCTGTGCCTCCTGGGAAGGACTGGCACTGCCTGGGTCCCTCTGCTGCCCTCTCATGGCTACAATTCTCCCACCAACATCTCTGTAAAGGCTAGAAATGGTAGGTGGCTTCATTTATGGATGATAGGAGTGGAAAAGAAAATCTTGTCAAGCAGTTTTAGGGGCAGAGACCCTGGAAGTGAACAGTTTTAATTCTCTTTCTTGACTAAAAGTTGGAAGTATCCTTGATCCTGTCTGGAGTTCTGTTCTTACCAGGGGCCAAAAATGCCAGGGAGAGGCTTGCTTCCTGACTGCTTGTTTCTTTTCCTAAGTGAGCACAGGTGCCTGGAAGTTGAGCATAAAGTCTGTCTATAGTTGAGAGGAGATCATTATGGGTGGGCCAACTGGTCTGAATGACTCACCCAGGTTTCCATCATTAACCCTCTACAAAGCGCCAAGATCAGCACCTCAATGGTACTCCATTTCCTGGGTTCAGCTCCAGATACACAGGATTTCTACCTCCTTTCTTTCTCTGTTGTTCTCCAGAAGTCAACTCATTTCCAAAACTGACCCTCTGTAATCCATTAATTTCATTCTTCAGATGCTCTAGATCAAAGGTGAAGCTACTGACTCTGAAATTTTTCTGTGCCTGTGAGCTAGCTCCCTAAGTTCTGAGTGAAGCCCTTCCTGAGGTGAGACAGCCTCCACTGAACTCAAAGTCTCCCAGCATCACTCATGTCATCGGTGGGCTTTCCAACTATGGAACATCCCACCCATCTAACAGACAGTCCGTGCACTAGAGACTGAAGAGCTGGAGATGATATGCGATGGAGTCTTGGTCTCTGTTAGAGCTGTCTCCCTGGGACAGAATGAGCAGATGATGTCACAGTGACCCAGATTCCCTACTTCCTAGGGCAGTACCTTCATGGGGTCAAGAAGTTGTTTGGTCTGCCTCTCTTTCTGAGTCCTAGCTCAGAGATGTGTAACTTTTTCCTTTCTTTCCTTCTCACTCTTTCGGGTGTTGGCCCCAATCTGAGTATGTCTTTTCAGGCAATTTGGACTCCCTTACCCTTTCTCGAAAGCTTTTTTTCCATGCTGTATGGCTACTTGTCCATCCTACGGCTGACTTCCAAGCAGACCTAATGCCCTCTTAGTCTTCCGCATATGCATAGGCAGGTGCAGAGATGTAAAGCTTGTTTGCTTTTGGGGTTTTCATTTAAACTAGCAAGAATGACTTTGAGCTTCCTTTCGAGTCCATTCTTGAATCGTTTGTATATGAGACCAAGAGTCCCAAGAGCTCTGATTTCCTCAGTAGCACATGGTGGTGTGATCATGAAGGAACAGCCACAATGACAAAGAGCTCTAACTAATTGGGCTTGGCTACCCATTATCAATGAACCACCTGAAGAGTCAGATGCAGAGAAGTACAGGAAAAGAGTTAGTTCAATATGAACGATCTGGTCCACAGTTCATCTCGGGGTGCTCACATGAGGTTTGGTTTAAATGGACGGCAGGAGCTATGCCTAACTGCTAAGTGGTCTTGGCTAAGGTACGGTGTTGCCCATCTTGGTCTTGGCTCCACCCCTTGCTGCTATGTGGTCTGACAACGTCACAGAAGAGGATGAAAGCACTTCCTGGGAGGCAAGGGCCTTCTCTGGCTGCCACCGGGCCTCATCTTTTGCCTTCTGGCAGCACGACATGCCTGAGGAAGTTCCAGTTCCCTGGGAACTACTGGTCAATAGTCTGATAGCTGAAGGAGAGGCGCAAATGCTTCTCTTCAGAATGTCTTCATTTCTTCCAGGACAGTTTCCGACCTTCGAAAATCAAAGCAGCTGGTGCACACTGAGAACAGAACTAAGCCAGCTCCCTTTCTCTTTGGGAAAGAGTCATCACCGTGCAATTATTTAGTCAATTATAACCAATTAAACTCTGAAGAGAAAAATGTGGGTCAGCAAAAGAGTCACTAAAGGATGATACATTAGCCCAGAATCGAGGACTCAGAGGACTTGTTCAGGCCAAGGGTTTGGCCTTGAAGAAGGATTGGGCAAACCAGGAAAGAGAAAGAATGGATTCCTTTAAAAGGGAAAGGGAAGTGAGCAGCTGCCTAGTTTCAACCAATCCCTGGAGAGTAGACTGCATCGCAAATACCAGTATAGACTGCAAACGATAATTCTGATAGGAGCAAGAGAAAGCGTCATGGGAAACTCATATTAGTGTTTTACTCCAGAAGGTGGACTTTCATAAACATAAAGAAGCTGGGAAATCAGACGCCCTAGACAAGATGAATTACACAAAGACTGTAAAATCCTTGCTCTTAGCGCATCAGGAGAATTTGCTTGTTTTCTTCTTAGTTCCCCATTCAGCTTCCTGAAGGGATACCATGAAATCTGTTGCCAAAGTTGTTTACAATCAAGTTGTCATGTTTACACGTCCTTGAAAAGCTGGTTTTATTCTTTAATAAATGAAAAATGATGCCGTTGTCCCCTCCAAAATAGCTGAGGTTTTACTTGAAGCAAATCTGTTTGGAAATGTTAAGCTGGTTACACAGAACGAATGCGCCTCAAGGTGGTCATTCTCTCTGGATTAAAGCCTGGGAACAATTGTGGCTCCTGTTACAAGGAAAATTACAATGGGCCATTATGGAAAGGGACAAAAATCTCTGTTCCCAGAGGGGGACTGACAAGCTGCAAGTCCCCTTCTGCACGCCAGCACAAAAGCCCAATTGCTTCGGATTGTTTGTTTATGCAAATCGAAGAGCAACATTAATTCGAAGAGTGGGGTTGTGGAGTGGCAAGAGGCTCCTGATTGGCTGGGCTTTGCTCCGGGGCTGGCGACCAAAGGGACAATCCCTGTCACATTCGTTCTGCACCCCAAAAACCTCTAGAACAAGCCTTGTTTAATTTCAGAGGGGAAGTTTCTGCTTTGGGGATAGATGTTGGAATTGTAGGACCTACAGCATTTGATCTCATCAAAGACCCAATCCCCTACTTTCTTCATTGCCTTCCCTAAAGCACAGACCTCAGTGATCATCATGACAGACGTTCCTAGGACCCTGAGCGGGACAGAGTGCAATGGGGACAGACCACCAGAGAATGGCCAAGAGCATATCAGTCAAGCCAGTGAGGACAGAGCTGATGCGGACGGGACTCAGCCATACTACAAGGTGGAACCCAGTCTTGAAGATGTACCCACAAGGAGAAATCAAGAAAAAAGTGGACCCTCTAAAGAGAGCTTACTACCCGAAGAGCCTGCAGGTGAGAAGATTCTCCATGGTAAAACGTTTCCTTTGCTCAGTTCAATTGTTTTGATTTACAAACCCCCTTTCTTCTGTCCCTTTTAATATAAACTAGTATTATATGAATAAGCTGGAGCCAAGAAACACAGACCCTTATTCCAACAGGGACTTCTATAATAAAGACTCACAATCTAGGCTTGTCTGGTAGCTTTGCAATCCCATGGTTTTCTTTTCAGAACCTTGAGCATTTTCACTCAGAACAAAGCAGAATAATAGTAACCACCTTCATTGGGTTGTTAGAATAATTTCTAAATGTTAATGTTAGCCATTGCTATTTATTGTTAGACCACAAGTCCATTGTCATTTGTAAAATTTTAAGATACCCTTCAGTACATGTCTAAAGAGGTCTGAATCCATAGTTCTCTCTCTCCTTTTTCTCTCTCTCTGTACACACACACATATATGTATGTATATATGTATATATATATATATATATATGAGATACTATCATTGTGGAAGCTAATTATTAAATATGTACAATCAAATTTCAAAGAATCATAAAAGTAAAGTAATAAGTTTTATTAATCCTAATTAAAGCTAAAGACATTACCTAGATTCAGAACTGATCATTTGTGAACCTTGAGCCTTGTATGTTGTCAATGTTACCATACTTATGTTTTCCCCCAGAAAACCCAGAAGAGAACCTCTTTGTTGTTCACAAGGTCATCAAAGACCTTTCTCTCCAAGAAGCAAGTGCTGAGGACATGGCATTCAGAGAAGGTAACAGGAACCCCAGTTTCCTAACCTGACTGTTTGGCTGGATAGGATGAGCACACCGCATGTGATGCTTTGGATGTGTGCTGCTGAAACGTGGTTTCAAGCAATGACTTCAAAATCTTATACGCGAGTGTTGTCTTCTGAGGGTTCCACCCTACCCAGCTTTCCAGATGGTTCGAGCCCCGAATTGTACAGATTGATGCGATTGACTGGCACGGCAATGTGATAGCCATGTCTTGATAGGTTACTCCCTCCCCCCAAATCAAGCTTTTTTTCCCCAATGTGGCGCTCCAGATGGGTGTTGGACGGCTTCTGGAATGGTTCCGAAACAGGTTTAGAATAAAGCCTTCTAAAGTAACTTCATAAGACGAGTTACTCCATGGGAAAATTATGTCTGACACAAGTACAAGCTGCTAAGTATTTCTTGTCAAAGAAGTGTGCTCCAGAGTGATGAGAGCGATGTGTTCTTTACACAACAGCGAGACAAAAAGTATACAAAAGTGGCTATGTTACCATGCCAGTAAAGTCAGTGGACAAGGTTACAAAATCTTCTAGACATTTTCTTCTAAGATGATATTACGTCCAAACAGTTTCTAAGTACAGTTTTTTTTTGTTGTTGTTTTTTTTTTTTTTTTTTTTTTTTTTTTTTTTTTTTTTTTTTTTTTGGTTTTTTGAGACAGGGTTTCTCTGTGGTTTTGGAGCCTGTCCTGGAACTAGCTCTTGTAGACCAGGCTGGTCTCGAACTCACAGAGATCCGCCTGCCTCTGCCTCCCAAGTGCTGGGATTAAAGGCGTGCGCCACCACCACCCGGCTAGTTTCTGAGTACAGTGCAGAACAGAATCTGTGAATTAATCACCCTTTCTCTCTCTTGAAGCGTTAAACAGCTTATCTCCAAATTAAAGTCAGCATTTAGCTCCTAACCAGTTTAGTTTAGGACATACCAGGAAAAGCAGGGGACCCACCAAAGGGACATTAGAACACTATGTGAATAGTGGATGTCAAGGAGGTGCCTGGGGATTACTGAGTTTCTTCCTTTGCCTAGAGTACTCCAACACTCTGCTGTCCAATATGTAACCAGTCACGGGAAGGTGCAGTCAGCAGTGGCTGGTATTGCAGAGATATCACAGATAGATTTTTCTTACCAGATCATAGTCTGTAAACATTAAGACCCCGTAAAATGAATTGCATAACTTTTCTGCCCCAATACTGCTTTAAATGTGACAAGTTGATCAAGGTAGAGCTCACCCTTGTCCACCTTCGGCTTCTTTATCTGCCAGGGGACCTACTACAAAAAACAGTTTCCTAGGACCTTGGCTTTCAATCAAGAGGAGAGTGAGGGAGCCTCTCTCTTTGTGTCTCTTTATGGTACATGGTGTCACCACTCAATTTATCTCGGCTTAAATCCTTCCTTTTTTCTTTTTAAATCTATTTATTTTATGCCCTGGCTGCAGTTTCCCCTCCCTCCTCTCCTCCCAGCTCCTCCTCCCCACTCTCCTAACAGAAACAGTTCTCCCCGCTCCTCCTCTGCTCAGAAAAGAGCAATTCTCCCATGGATATCAACAGAACATGACATATCAAGTTGCAGGAAGACTAAGCACCTTCCCTTGTACTAAGGCTGGACAAGGTGACCCAGTATGAGGACTAGAGTCCCAAAAGGCAGGAAAAGAGTCAGACGGTCCCTGTTCCTGCTGTTAGCAGTCCCACAACAGGACCAAGCTGCACAACTATAACGTACATGCAGAGAGCCTAGGTTCATCCCATGCAGGCTCCCTGGTTTTCAGTTCAGTCTCTGTGAGACCCTATGGACCCAGCTTAGTTGATTCTGTGAATTTTATTGTGGTGTCTTTCACCCCTCTGGATCCTACAGTCTTTTCTTTCCCTCTTCTGCAAGATTCACTGAGCTCAGCCTAATGTTTGGCTGTGGGTGTCTGCATCTGTTTCCATCAGTTGCTGGATGAAACCTCTCTGATGACTATTGGACTAGGCGCCAATCTATGAGTGTAGCAGAATATTGTTAGGCATCATTACATTGACATTTCCTCCCCTCTAGCTATGTTTGGTTCTATCCTAAGTATCTGCATCATCCAGCCTGTGGGTCTTAAACAGTACAATTCCACCCTGACAGAGGCTCTGGTTTTCGTGCCTTTTTATTTTCAAGCTAGCAAACAACCATAAAGTCTCCTAAGAAGAATATGCCTGCTAAGAGTAGAAAGATGTTAAAAAAAATATCTAGGAAAAACACTAATTAGTTTAAATTGAAAGATGAAGTTTATTCTTGACAGTGTTGGGCATGAGTCAAGCATAGGAACAAAAAGATCATTTGTGTGTGTGTGTGTGTGTGTGTGTATGTGTGTGTGTGTTTTCTTTTCTTTTTTTTTTGCTGGGGGAAAACACAACAAAAAGTCTTCTATCATAGAAAATATCCAATGTACACTTACATGCAGAATAAAGAATATGAAGAAGAGGACTGACAAGCTGCTTAGGACTAGTGTGGTGGGAATGCATGCTTGCTTCTCTCCTTCACAGCTCATGGGAACTTGGACTCATTGACAAAAATGAAAGCCTTTGATGGACACAGACTCCCAAGGAGAGCTGTGAAGGAAGAACCAATTGGACAGTGGCTTTTCACCTTGTTCACCAGCCGTTGTGGCCTAGAGAGAGAATGGTGACGCCACACACTCTGGCCGAGTTCACAGTGGGTAGAGGGTTTTCCACAGCAGCCTGTCACGAGCGCATGTTCCAAAAACTCTGTTCCTTTACAATTCATTCCTCTACATCAATAAACACTAGTGGAAGCTGTTTGGAAAGCAATGATCAGAGTGCTTTAAGCCTTCTAAAACACAGCACGGCACCAAATGATCTGTTCCTCTGCTGTCATTTGGAGCAATAGGAGAATCTAAGGTTATACACACACGCACAAGCACCACATGATCATTGGATCTGGATCCCTAGAGGTTAGCACAGGATCCTAAGCACTGTATGGGACTCGGTCGCCAGCATGTAAGTTCTGAGCATCTCGAGACCTTTGATCACCTTTTGAAAAAGCGTTGTTAATTTTTATTATATGTACACGAGTGCACGTATGCAAGTGCTCTCTTTTTCTGCCTGGTGCCTGGACAGAAGGAAGCATCGATTCTCTGAAACTAGAGTGACAGAGTTATAGGCTGCCTGTGGGTGCTGGAATCAAACGTCTTTCTCCGACAGAGCAAAGTACCTGTAACCACTAAGCCATTTTTCCAACATGCCTTTCTAACACTTTCTCATTTTCGTGTTATTTTATGTGTATGAATGCTTTGCCTGCATGCATGTCTTGCACTATGTGCATGCCTAGTGCCTACAGAGGTCAGAAGATGGTATTGGGTGGCCTGAAACTGGAGTTAGGGATGATTGTGAGCCACCCTGTGAGTACTGGGACTGGAACCTGGGTCCTCTGGAAGAGCAGCCAGTGCTCTGAATCACTGAGCCATCTTCCCAGTGCCTTTGCTCTTCTTTACCGCTCAAGAGACAGTGTCAAATGTCACAGCTACTACTATGAGTGTGGCTAGGCGTGGGCAGTCATCGTTTTCACATGAGAGGAAAGCTTTTCCCTCTGAGGTATTGTTTGCATTGTCCTTATAGGATGTGTCTGTGGATATGAAGTAAATCCAAGCATTTTCTGAGTATGTACATATGCACACACATAAAATATATACATGCACATACATGCAGGATAAAAATACATACATACATATGTATGTGTGAATACACACATACACACACACACACACACACACACACACACACGAGTTTTGGTAAGGGAAAGATTTTAAGTGTACCCCAGAGAACAGTAATCCTACTAAATACACTAATCTAAGCAATAGATTTCCAGTCAAATGAGGTTAGGTTGTAGACATTCCTGAAGACATACAATATTCATTAGCATTTTAAAACCTTAAATTCTGAGATATTTATTTAACTATATGAAATGCCATGTTTTTGCAAATTGTTTTGACTGTGAAGCCTGTTTGATTGCCTAGACTTAACAGGCAACCCTGAGTCACAGTTCATAAGGCAAAAGTTGGAAGGTGATTGTCTAGAAGAATGTGTTAGAATCTTCCAGAAGCAGCTATGTCCTCTGAAACCCAAGCACATCTCACCCACTAGTCCATTTTGCTGCAGGGCATCCATGGAAGCAGATTCCTCTGAGCAGCAGTGACCTGGAAGTGAGTATGCAGAAGGAAAGGATTGCCCACCGACCTCTAGAGCAGAGAGAAGACGAGAACACTGCATACCAGGCGGCAGAAATTGAATGGTTGGGGTTCCAGAAATCTAGTCAAGTTGACATATTGCATTCTAAATGTGACGAGGAACCAGAAGTTTGGGATGAAGAAGTTAACGAGGAAGACGCTGATGACTGCAATGATGATGAAGACGAAGTTCGAGTCATAGAATTTAAGAGAAAACACAGCGAAGGTTTTCAATTAAAAGAGGAAAACCATCCAAGCGAAGACTCCCCACTAAGCAGCCCCAGCTCCCAGCCAGGGACCCCTGATGAGCAGCCCGTGTTAGGAAAGAAGGGAGATATCTCCAGGAATGTTTATTCCAGATACAACACGATATCCTATCGGAAGATCAGGAAAGGGAACACCAAACAGAGAATTGACGAATTCGAGTCGATGATGCACTTGTAAACCAAGCGGGACTGGGAAACGTCATGAGTGCTCAAGAAAAGCTAACTCCGTTGTGCTGAGAAACCTTCCTCTGCCATATTTGCAAGATGCGCGTGTTTAACGTCTTTTCCACCATAGAGCAACGTGGAAATAACCATAGACAAAAGTCAGTCTGATAACTTCAAATCAAAAGCTTTAGACTCATGCCTGGGTGTTTGCTTTTAAAAAGTTAACTAATATAGCAGTATGTGGTAAGCATTGTCAGAGAGGCAAATCTGTCATGATTTGGCTTCAAAATTAGCACTATTGAGAGAGACAGTCAAGGGAAAGAGAACAGTTGATGTGACTCCACTAATTCTTTCAGTGTCCTTCTTTCTTCAGGCCAATAGGAAGTCTGGAATTAAACTCCTCCTCCATTAAACATGGTTTTTTATAGATTCTGCCAATAACTATTCTGCCTTTCTATTTATCTTTTAAAAAATACTGTATCTTAAATGGTTTTCCTTGGCATCTCCTGAGTGAAAACTCAACAGATCGCCTTTCTAGGTGTCACCATTCAGTGAATTTGTTCACTAAAAGGCTGAGTAATTGTCAGTCAGAATTCCGTGTGCTAAGTGCTGGCTTTATGCTTTCAAAATGAATTAAATCCATTGTGAAGTTGATCCAGGGAGGGGCTAGATGACCGGTGAGCCATAGACTCAAGAATTGTATTGGATGGCCTTTATTTTTGTTACTGAAAACAAAAATCTTGTCTAGCACAATGAAAATAATTAAAAATAAAAAAGTGGCAATTTTAGCACAATTTTAAGAAAATGCCTTTACTCCATTACCATACTTTCTTGCATTAACAGTATTTCAAAACCATCCTCTTTGCTTGGGAATGAGAGACAATGGCAGTCATAACTGTACTAGTTACTATGAAGATGGAAATAATTATCTTTGACTATTTTAAAAGTAGGGTGTGAGCATGTATTTTTAGGGAAAAAGCTGATAGTTGTGGGGAATATATACTTTATTGGACCAAAGCCTAAATCAAGAAGCTTAAAATTGCACGTGTGGAGCTTCATGCGCACCCACATGTCAAATAATGCATTGAATATTTATGAAAAGAGTATATTTATACTCTTGGATAGTTTATTCCGCAAATATTCATTTTGTGCTTCTGTGTATATTGCTCTGAACTTTCTGTTACTACAGATGAAAATATCGTTTGGCTCCAAATAAAAGACAATTCCTTATTGTCTGAATGTAATACAGTCTTCATTGTGCTATTTGACTCTTTGTTTGTTTCTTTCTCATTTGGTGCAAAAGCCTGGGTGAGTCCTACTTAGACGATTGCTTATTTATGTGTACCAAATCCCACACATTCCCATGGCAAGTCCCTTCATTCTTCCTGGTTATATAATATATTTCTATTGTATCATATGGTACTATGGAGTATTCAAAAGACTCAAGTTTTAATTTGATTCCAGTGATTCTTTTATTCTTCTAACCTATCCTTTACAACCTGACCAGGTAAGATCTGTTAATACTTAAACTGTTGAGCCTGCTAATTTCTTGTGGGACAAATGTGAGCTTTCCACATAAAATGAGACGAATTCAGTCTTTTGATTGATAAAGTTGGTAGGAGATTGACGGACTGGGATAACTTCCTGTTTTAATGTAGATCCTTTGATCATTCCACAAAGACAACCTGTTTGCTTTCTTGGATCCCGGATGAGACCTATCATTTTCTGCTTAACTTCAAAAAATTGCTTTATGTAACATTGCTGACCTATCCACAGGTCAGCCTGTTTGTTAGATGGCATTGACAAGTTACCATGAAGTTTGCATGGAATGAGTAGTATTTGTGGCTAAGAGGCATGGCAACGCTATTAGCATCTGTGGTACTCCATCACCTTGATCTTTTTAGCTGTGTTCTCTTGCCACGCAATTCACCGATCATCAAACATTCTGTCCACAAAGACTGTTTGATGTATGGTCAACTGGGAAGCCACTCATGCTCATGGCCGTGGTAATGCAGTGCCAGGAAAGCATTGATAACATTCTTTGGTATCATTGTGCATTGCCACATCCTATCACATACAGCAGGGCGAGAGTTAACACCTGGGTGACGTGGTGGTGGTGGGTGGATATGTGGGTTGTGGTCATCTGGAAACAGCAAAGGTCTTGTCCCCTTTGCACGAGATATATATTGATATATTTAAACTCATCTGGAGCGCTATTAATTGACAACCATGCATGAAGGTTTACTGAGATTTTGTGATTCAAGGTTCAGAATGGTAAGGACTTTGGTACCTGACACCTGGATGGGGATTACATGAATGCTGGAATTTCTTAAATGACTTAATTCTCTTTTGTTGCCAGATGAATGGGAATTAAAGACAGCTTTACTCCTTTGTAAAATATTGAATTTACCTTTTATTTAGCACATATATTTTAAGACATGGTATTTGCCAGGTTCTGTTTTTATCCATCCATCCACCTGTCCATCTGTCTGCCTTTCCATCCATCCATCTGTCTTTCTGTCTGTCTGTCTATATATCTGTCTATAATTTATCTATTTACCTGCTGTTAAATAAAGAACTAACTACCTGGTCTTATTTGCTTTCAATAAAAGTTTGTGTTCTTTGTTTAAGGATTGTAAACCTCTCTAGAAATTTAGTGAATTTCCCCCATATAAGCAGCTATTTAGACCATCAAGCAAGCCACTTCACAAAAAATTAAGAGAATACCTAATTACAGTTAATGCACATTATTTATTTTTAAATGATTATATATAAAACTGTGAGGACTTCAGTGGTTAGATATATAATATACTTGAAAATCTTCTATTACTTTGAAAGAAAATGAGATTTTGCTTCAGATGCATATTGAGGTCATGCACTTAAGCTCTTTGGACACAATGAAAGTGGCATTTCTGCATTTTTGCATGGAGTACTACATGTGGCATATTTTCAATTGAAGAACAGACATTAAGCTTTTCAAAGTGATCAAGGAAAACATTTAAAGTAAGTTATTCTAGAAGAGAATAAACTTCTAGAGTACAATAAATAAGAAATGTGTTTAATAATATGAGAAAAACAACCACTTCTCCTGAAGGCCATGCATCCATTGTTTTATAATAACAAGAAGGTTATAAAATCCAATGTCAAACATACCTTCCATTATTAAAATAGGATATTATGTCATAATAGAAGAACAAAATGGTAAAATGTGTGTTCTACTCTTGAGGCACATGAGAGGGCAAAGTCAAACAATCAACACCACACACACACACAGAAGTGGGCACCAGAAGTCAATCATCCAGATAACTGGGAAAACACAATACAAACTGGTGACACTGGTAACTAGCTTCTAGCTCAGAAGAATATTGAAAATGAAGTTTGAAAGCAATTTTTATTTTTTCCTAGATATTTAAAGTTATGTATTTGATTCTTTTTCTATAAATAATCTTAGTTGAACAGAAGGAAAAGAAAAGGTTGTTATTTAGAAGTATTAGCTCCAATATTCCTCCTATGAGTTTGTTCTTCCATTAACAAACCTATTAGGAAAATCAATAGCAAAATCACTCCCTTGATCTTTGCGCCCCCCCCCTCTCTCTCTCTCTCAGCCGTTTCGTACAGATACTATGTATAAAACTAGAAAAAAACTTGTCAGTTTTTTAAAGAATTAAGGTGTATATGGAATTCTACAAACTTCCACAATTGTAATCTGACTTCGCTTTCAAGTCAGAGAAACTGTGGTCAGGGCAAATCCTATTGAAAAAACTTGTGCAGAGAGTTCAGAGTGAAACATGCTGCTACCTCAGGAAGTTTTAATTGTCCCTTGCCGTTGCTTTATTTTTTTATGTTGTCACAAGACACCTAGGGTTTTTATCCTCTCCCAATTTAAAGAAGCACATGCACACACACAATGCATGTCTACACACAAGGCTTATCTTTGCACAACTGATGCTTTCAAACAGTCTAGTAAACCTTAAAATATATTTAGTTACATTATCAAAAGTTTTAATTGCAGCATACAATACAAAAGCTTTATCTGTTTACTCATTTATAACTAATAACTTTGAACTGGCAAGTAGCTTTCAATATAAACAAATGTGTTTTCACTCATTATCGGTGATTGTCATTAATAGGAACGCCACATATTCTAGATTGGTCTGCATGTTGGAAAATGGAAATTTTCACAGTGCTTTGTGTTTTTATAAGGGAGGACTCACATAAACTTGCAAAGGGTTCCTGATGGAGGCAATAAATGTCAGGTGTCAGCTCAAGTTAAAACGGACATTAAATTTGCACTATGGAGTTGTTTTTACTTTCTTTCATTCACAGGCACTCCAACATTTGAGACACCATCCACCAAGTCTCACAGAGGAGCATATGCAGGCACCCCAACATCCAAGACACCATCCACCAAGTCTCACAGAGGCTCATGTGTAGGTGGCACCATCCTCCAAGTTTCACAGAGGAACATATGCAGGCACGCCAACATCTGATACATCATCCAGCAGGTCTCATAGCGGCTCTGATGCAGGCACCCCAATATCCGAGACACCATCCATCAAGCCTCACAGAAGAACATAACACTTTATGCGACTGAAGCAAAATGTCCATGAAATGAGCATTTGTCAAAAATAAACTTTCTGTACAGTAGCTTTGGGAAGGATTTCTCTTTTCCTAGGTAGCTGGCTTCCAGCAATCACTGAATACCCATGTGGCAGCTGTAAAATCTCTATGGCACCACAATCTGTAAAGTGAGCTGAAGTGAAAAGCTGTGGCTCGTGTTTTAAATTGAAGGGTTTTCCAAAGCTCTATTTCCTATCCCTGTTAAAAGTGAGCTACTTGTTGGTTTTGCTTAAAGGTTCGAAGGGACTTGGGTACTAAGATTCACAGAGAAACAGATCTCTATACTTCTGTCTGTCAGTTTGATCCAGCAAGTGGTGAAGTCCTACATCACATCACACGGATCACTACAGGATCTACGAGGGTTGCCACAGACAACTATACTTCAGCTGCTCAATAGAGAGGCCCAGCGTTGATTTCCTGCTTACAAAGCATTCAAGAGAGACCGGAAAGCTTTTAACCAACCTCATTTCCTTATCTTTAAATCAGCAACGTGCAATGCAGGGACCTTACCTGAGTTCACCTACATTGATAACCCTATTTCTTTAAAAAAGGATGTTCATGGTACACAGTAGAGGAACCACTTTTGGGAGTACCAGATATAATGGTCACTAGGTTTTATCTATTGTTGATAGGATGAATCACATCCTTCCTCAGTGTAGGGAAGAGACAGACACCTTCCTGATCATATGGAGGGAAGAAAGTTTTATACACAACAATAAGATGAGCACATACAAAACCTGGGGGGTGCACTCAGTGATAATTCATTTTTCTTTTTCCTTTATTTCTTGGAATTCTGTGGTTTTTCTATGAGCTATTGGGTCCTTTGCATAAGATCTGACTTTTTGGATGTGTTCTGCATAAAAGCAGAAGTATTTGAACAACAAGAAGCAGGCTGGTGTTACTGGTGTGCCTCAGTCCCATTATCCTGCCTGGGAGTTCCTTGAACATCATTGTTAGACACTCAGGAAATTAGAAGAGGCTAGAAATGTTGAGGCCTAATCCACTCTAAGTGCTGTCCATGACCCTTTGCAATCTTTAAGTCAACATTAGAAAGAAGGTTTTCTAATATCTAGAAGAAAGGCTTCCAAAGCAGTGCGGGGGAAGCTAATGATGCATTGCGATCATGGCACGGGTGGTTTTGCAGTCCTGTGAATGACAGATAATTGAATGTCAGCAAGCAGAACTGAGCAAATTTGACGCTCGTGATAAAACAGCACTGTAGCAACAACAGCTGTGTCATCCCACGGGAGAGGAGGGGGGAGCTCTGCATTACTGTTCAAAAGCGAAAGCCACCGTGCATGCTGAAGGGTGAGGAAGCACTTCCAGTATTCAAGAAGTTAGTATTTTGATCCAGTTAGTTCTGTAAATTATTAGCAAGGCTATCCCGTGTTCAGGTCGACAAAGTGCACAGGCATGTTCCTAAGAAAAGGCAATAACCTAAGCCAAGCCAAGGAAATGTGAGCCCCTGATAATCTATCCTCCTGCTGAAGGATTCACTTGGACCCCCAAGTGTTCCATCAAGGGTTTGCCATTACGTGGAAAAGATACTGTAGTAGGATCTATATATTCATTCTTGTCTTCTAAAAACAAATTTTGGGGACAAAGCTTTAAAAATGTTGGCAGTATATCTGAGGATCAGTCCGTCCTTTCAAGGCTAGGCCCACACAGCTTCCTCAATCATGTCTGGTTCCTTGAATCTTAGCATAAGTGGGGAAACGTATGGTAGAAAGTTTATTAATATTTTAACCTTAAATAAGTACATTATAGTACAAACAAAGCCTTTGTTCTACTGAGAGTACTCAGAGGTAGCTTTATATAATAAGTATGTTAAGGTAAAGTTAGATAGTATATTCATTGATCAGAGTACACAGATTTTCTTGGGAAAAAATAAAAACATATACTTCCTTCACTTACAAAAGTGGATCTAGCCAAAGAATGACTTGTCTGTTGCTAAAAAATCCTTACTTTTCTTCTGAGGAAATTTTCCTTGGATAAAATAGACTCTCCATAGACCAGTGGGCATGGGTATGCCCAAGGTGTCTCAGTCACATAAAAATGGCATGGGTCACTCGCTGTACTGTTTGGTCACCAACTCAATTAGTTCATTGCCAAAGACTTGTGTGGTTTTTGTTTGTTTTTGTGTTCTTTTTCCTTCCCATATGGCTGCTTTGGAAAGAATTATTTTATTTTAAAGTATTCTCTTATCTAATCTCTAATCATCGAGTACTGGATGAAGCAACTTAAATATACTATATATGCTATAAATGTGTAAAGAAGAAATGTTTCCTTTCCCATTATTCATTGGTAGTCAGGATTTTTTTGGTCACTAATTGGAAGATAAAATTAAGTGTCAAATAAGAAACCCAGAACTAAAATGACCAGTTTTACCATAATAGCATGTGAACAAAGGCTTAAATCCACCAGCAGAAATAAGCATGGCCAGCTTGAAGGGGTGAAGATTCAGTGTGAAGTTGGTTTATCATCTTTGTAGGACCACAGCAGGCAAACTAAGACCAAATTGGTGGTTGAAACAATGGAATGAATCACACCTGAAGATCTGAAGCCTTAACTCATTCACACCAGTTGGCCTGTAAGTGGTTTTAGAGAGGCAATTTTTCTCCCAAAGTCAATTTTCCTCCCAAAAGGATGCTAGTAGACCCTGGTCCCTAAGCTTTCTTTTTCAGTGCCCAAGGATTGGTGTACTTGACATGAGAGCTTTCCATGCCTGGCCTTTGTGATCCTCGGGTCCACCTGAGGGGTTTTGCTCTGTCTTTCCCCATCAGAAGAGGCACGCCCCTTTCTTATTCTGCCGGGTCTGGGACCAGACTTCACTCAACCCTCTCTTCAAATTGCTCATTTCATTTAAATGAATGCCTGCTTTGGCATGTTTTAGAATCTATTTCTAGCATGCTTCATCCAAGTGAATATTGATAAATCTAAAGCAGCATTTTTATTGTTTTCATATTTTAAATTTTGCCCTATTCTGTATCATTTCTGCTTTAATTTTATCAGCTCCTCTCGCTTAACTCTGTGTTGGAATGTCCAATGAGGAAGTACTGGTCTTGTTAACACAGTGTGTTGTGACCCAACCTCCTCTCTTCGTTTACCTTAAAAAACACAAAAATCTCAGAAATTCACTGCTATGACCAGCTTTTTAAAAATATAGTATTGCTAAAAAGCACAAAACGAACTGAAAGAATACACAGAATTGATTACATTAAGTCTTCCTTTTCACTTGTTTTTTTTCCCCTACTGCTTCAGATTTAGAAGAAAACTTCCTGGTCATCCAGTTCAACCTCACCATTAGGAAGGATCCTGATGGAGAAGGGTCATCCATCTTATCTGTTGCTTTCATTGGTTAATAAAGAAACTGCCTTGGCCCTGATAGGACAGAAAATTAGGTAGGCGGAGTAGACAGAACAGAATTCTGGGAGGAAGAAGCCGAGTCAGGCAGTCTCGGCTCTCCTCTCCAAGATGGATGCAGGTTAAGATCTTCCGGTAAGCCACCACCTCTTGCTGCTACACACATTATTAGAAATGGGTTTATCAAGATGTGAAAGTTAGCCAATAAGAGGCTGGAACTAATGGGCCAGGCAGTGTTTAAAAGGATACAGTTCCTGTGTAATTATTTTGGGTAAAGCTAACCATGTGGGAGCTGGGCAGGAACGCAGCCCGCTGCTCCTCACAACAGGATCCTGGGGTTGAGCAGTACTACTATAAGCTGTCAGGTAAACATGGTGATATCTCAGTAGGACAGTGTCTCTGTGCAGCTAGCTGAGTCTTCCAGCTGTGGGAATCTGCGAAGATGTATTTGATGAAAGCAGAATCCTGTTGGTTTTAACTCTACTCATGGGCAAGAATAACTGCTCAACAGCTGTCATGGCTTTGACATCATTGTAGGTAACCTACAGGTTCTGGTTACCTGTCAGAGTGCGTGAGGAAGACGTTGAGTATGCACTATGGCACTGGGCGGGCACAGACACATCCAAAGGCCACCTAGAGCTGAAGAATTCCAGTCCAATGGTGACCTGTTTCCCTGAGTTATCTTTAAAAAATAACCTTCCATTTAAATGCTATTGAAATGGAAAACTTAAAATACCATGGAAAGAAATACAGTCACCAACTTTAGTCTCATTTTCACAGATAATCTGGAGGGTTAACTAGATAAACCATCTTTCTTTAGCCTTAATAGTATTGTTCAAATTTCCACTTTTGATATGGTTCCATTGGGTTACAAGTGGCCACTGTCAGCGTCTTCTGAGAAGCATTTCCTTCCATGCATAGCAACTGCTGGTAGTGTTCAAAGACAATGTGATCCACCTGAGGAGAAAGAGGAGATGGGAATGAGCTATCGACTAACCTTGACATATGAAGATATAATAAGCAAATTATATTTTCACTGCCCCAGGAACTCTCCTGAATTAAATTAGTGACATAAGCACAAAGTTTAGAAAACATCAAATTTGTCTCTGTCTCAAACTAGCTTCTCTAGTTGTAAGGTTTTAATTCTGCAGAAAGAAAACAGCCATTTTACCCCCAGTGATTTGATGGATAGCTATATCATTTAAAAGAAAAAAAATCTGGTTGGCACATAATATATTGGGTAACTACTTCATTGGTGGTGGCAATGCAAAAAAAAATCATGTAGTATGACAGGAAAGAAGTTGATTAATCCAGCTCAGATCTTAGAATGTTCACGTGTGTTAGCAAATGCTAAAGATGGCACATTTGAATTGTGATCTCCCCACCTAACTTTTGACAACATAGAATGTCAAGTACTCAGATTTAGTTAGAACAAGACAAGGGTATTTCAGATGAACTTAATGTTGCTTAAAAGTTATTAAAACTGAGAGATAATCTACTAAGAACCAATGAAGGCTTTATAATTTTTAACTCATAAATATCAATTTTCCATAAATATGATAGTGGTCATTTTAGTTGTTTTTGAGCTATTTTAATATACTTATGGCTTTTTAAACCAAAATGGGAGATTTTCATGCTAAAACAAAATTATGACTCCCACAGAACCTTGGAAGTAGGATGCTTGCATATACTTAAGGTTGTGCAAAGTAGGTGGCCTTGAAGCAGATCCTTCAGCATGGTGTACAATGCTCTGTGCCGAATGACAGAGTATGGGGGAGAGCATGGATTGACTTAGGGAGCACTTGAAAATGCAAATTTAGAAGTATGCGATTTTAACAAGTTATTGTTATCTAGAGGCAAACACTTAAAAGAAAGAGGTTCCTAATATTCACAATCTCTTTCTCCGTTTCTCTTCTTCTTTAAGACTAATATATAACTCAGGGAATGCTATAGTTGTATCTTAAATGCTATCTCCCTCCCCAAAGTTGACATGTTAAAGACTTGGTCCCCAGGGTACAACTGTTGGGAGATGGTGAAGTCTTTGAGAGGAGGTTTAGATTCAGCGGTCACTGTGAAGTGGCTGTGATAAGGACTGTGTGATCGTCTTTCTACTCCCCTTTACTTCAGGCCATGAACTGAGCCGTGTTCAAACCTGTAGTCTCTCTGTGATGTGTTGCCTTACCATGGGCCCCAAACAACAAGGCCAGCCTATGGTCGACTCAGACTTCTAAAATGGAGCAGACTCAGCCCTTTGCCCTTTAATTGTCGAAGGCAGTGGTTCTTAATCTTCCTAAAGCTGCGACCTTTTTATACAGTTCCTCTTGCTGTGGGGACCCGCCACAAAATTATCTTCATTGCCACTTCATAACTGTATTTTCTACTGTTATGAATTATAATGTAAATATCTGTGCTTCCTGATTCTTGGGATCCTGACCCAGAGAGTAAGAACTACTGGCTCAAGGTCTTTTTCTAAAGTGATAATCAGTTAACCCAGGGACTTGAGAAGATTTGTATGAGAACTGTCAAAAGAAAAAAACAAAAAGGAGAGAGAGACAGAGACAGAGAGACAGAGAGAAAGAAAGTCAATACGGGCTATCCATCTCTGTGAAAGACAGAAGGCATCACAGAGAAATTCTTAGTTTCTACTATCTTAGTAAATTACTTTTTCCAAGGCAGCTTAATGGGTAAGACCTACTCTTAAATATATCCTTGTATATCCTTCCCAAGATTCACTGCAGAAAGGAAAGGTTTTGACTTTCATTGTCTCTCTTTCCTTCTGTCCTCTTTGTTTCCCACCTTCAGTGCAGTGCTGAAGAAGTAGGAGGTGTGATATAATTTAATCGATAGATATTTATGAAATTTCCCCAAAAGGGCAAAAAATAAAAAGAGAAGTATATACACTAATAATTCTCCATTTGGCAGTATTAACTGGCAATAATAATGCTTATCAGTAGGAGGAAAGTGTCTCAGAAAATTAAAAGATGCAGTCGGGTGGTGGTAGTACATATTTTTAATCCCAGCAATCAGGAGGCAGAGGCAGGTGAGTCTCTGTGAGTTCAAGGCCTGCCTCATCTACAGGGTGAGTTCCAGGACAGCCAGGGCTACACAGAGAAACCTTGTCTTGAGAAACAAAGCAAAGCAAACCAAAACCAAAACCAAACAAACAAAAAAAAAAATTAAAACATACTACTGGAGAATGAATGGGTATCTTGGATCCAATTTGGGCTCCCAGTAGAAAGAGAATGACTGCCTATGACAACAGAGGAAGGATAACCTAATAAATGGGGACACCCCAAAATAAAATGAGTTTCCTTTGGGGCCAGCTCTGGGCAGAATCATGATCTCTGTACTACCAGTATAAAATACTGAGAAAAACAACATAAGGGGCAACAGTTTATTTCAGCTCACAGTTGAAGGATACACCCCAAAACTGTGGAGGAATTCACAGTGGCAAGAGATGGTTACACCCCACAACTGTAGAGGAGTTTACAGTGGCAAGAGATGGGGGGGCTCGTCATATTTCATGCACGGTAAAGAAGCAGATATTGAGAGACGAATGTCACAGCACCCTCACTTTCTCCACGTCGCACAGCCCAGGATCCCCTTCTGGGAGAATAATCCCACTCAAAATTAAGACGGGCCTCTCTCACCATTTAACATAATGAAGACAGTCTCCCCTAGGCAATCTCTGAGGCCGACTCTAACCACAATACCAATGGCTGTAAAACATTTGGCGTGCTAGTGAGGTGGCAGAAACCTGAGGAGGCAGTCCTGACCTGAGACCAGTCCTAGCATCTCAAGATTCCACGACAAAGTTTATGACATCAAATCCCATGTTATCATGACTGAGAGACACTGAAGGGGCTTGGGAATAAACACAGTCACACCGGGACGTTTTGTTAGGGTAACAACTGTGTCGGAAACATTCTCCTCAAAACTGCTTTTCAACAGGAGCTGTGTTATCACCAAATGTAAAATTGGCAAGACACACACACCCAGCCTCCTGTAATCGGCAGTCTTATCTGTGGAGCCACACGGGAATGAGAAAAAGATCCCTTTCCTGGAGAGAGAGCAGATGCGGAGCTCCAACCATTCTAAAGAGCAGCCCTTGCAGGAAGCGCGCAGGTTCTTGCGTTGTCCATAGATCGCACCTTGAGGCTCTTCTGGTAACCAGCGAGAATAAGTTTCATCGATACGCAGGGCATTGTTGATTGATTTAAATGACTTTTCGAAGCTAGCATGGTGGTGGCAATAGAATGGGAAGAAATGGGTGCTTTTGTTTGAATGACTTATTTGAAATCAATTTTGAAAAAAGCAAACAAATCCAAAAATAAAAACAAGATATTAAAAATTTACCAAGACTCTGACCCTGAGTGAACCTTCACACTGTCTCTATTGTGAGCCAGCAGTTTTCGAGACTTCTGGCTGATGGGACTGATAATCGGAGCTCTATGCCCCCTTTGACTGAAGTTGACTCTGTGGTGAAGGGATGACACGGATGTTTGCTTACCAGTTCTGGATGAAAGCTCGATGCTGATTTGTGCAGCCACTTGAGGCTGGTGTTTCTGTTATCACATGGCTGGAGTCTCAGGGGTCCCTTATCAGTGCCGGGAGCCAGGCACCACTGTCCGTGTTTAATCAGTCTTACCCAGGTGTAATTGAACTGTTGACGCTGTAGAGAATGGGCAGAGGGAAGGCCATTCAGAGAGCGAGCAGAGGCAGGGGATTTGCCGAAGACTTTTATCAACAACAGTGAGACCGTGGCTGCCCAATCTGATGAGTTACGTTACTTAACCTGCCCACTGTCATCTTCCTTATTGCTGTGGTGGGTAGTGTGACTATCGCTTTTGGCTTCAGCAATGACTTTCAGCTGTCTGGTTCTGTGACCGGTGTTAGAGTTGTGATTGTCTTGCCTCTGCTTCCCTAACAGCTAGAGTTCAGGGTCTATGTCACTATGACTGACTTTAAGTTGGGATTTAATTTAGACTGTAAGGTTGTATTAAAGAAATGGTGGCAAATCTTGCCACTCAAAGTGTAGTCCCTGGACCAAGATCATGTCACCTGGACACTAGTTAGAAATGCGGGATCTCAGCCCCATCTTGGATCCTGTGAGTCTGAGTCGACCCTAACAAACTCCTCGGGTGATCATCAGTGTCTGAGAACCAAGGACGACAGACAATGGAATAGGAGGTCAGGTAGTTACTAAGACACACTGCACATCACCTTAAAAGGGTTTAAAAGTAAACACCTGCGAAGACTTCTAGTTAAAGCAATGGAAAGGGATTAAGGGGGAAACAGTATTTCATTTCTTTTGAGGGTTCCAGATGAATATAACTCAGGTATTATAACTTATTGGTTCTGTCCCTTATCAAATTAACTTCCTCTACATTCCTGTTCTTTTTGTTATTCAAACAGACCATGAGGAAGGAGCAACTCAAAAGGAGCAACAGGGCCAGAGTGCAAGGAAGGCAGTGACCCTATTATTCATATTTTGGTCTTTCCTTCCCAACTCATTGGTATTCAAGAGCAGAAGTTGAGTTTCTGGTGAAATACTGATTTTACAGGTATGCTAAGTTCCTACAGGGATGGTCTTAAAGGAGTAGATTATTTTCATATATTTTTGACTAATTCTGCAGTTGTTCTTTATCCACTGTGAACTGTGAATAAGCAAAAGTCGTATCTTTCTGTTGATTCTTTAAACTTATCTCGTCTCTTTCCTGATTATGAAAGTGTTTCTTGGGCGTCAGGTTTACAATCCACAGAAGAATTGCCCTGACAGCTCTGTCTTCTACTCTAGGGGAAGCTTGGGACTGAGGCGTAGAAATGGGATGCTCTTGAAAGGATCAGCCACAGTGCTTAAATCAGCACCAAGAAGTAAGACAGCAAGCCAAGGCCATCATCACAAAATGATCTGTCTATCACAGTGCGATCTGCAATCTGGGGGCTGATTTGTACACATTAATCCGTGTTCCTGTGAGTCCTATTTAGCATCCAAAGCAAATACCATTCCCATCTGGGGTGCAGATGCTGGAGAGGGAGGTGTAATCACTTGAACCTCACCTCCTGCAAGGCGGGAGTAATCCTCTGTTTTTCCTGGCCCCGCTCCCTCTCCTATCCACCGTGGTCTGATTTTGTGGTTATTTTGTTAGAAGATTTTTCATCAAGGATCATAGTTTAGGGGATGTTCATCACTCCCTTAAGACTTAAGATAACAGAGGGAGGGGAAAGTTGGGCAGAAGAATGTAATCAGAGAATAAAATGGATTCTTTTGGATGGTTCCATAGAAACTTCATTTCTACTTTATCTGTTGATAAAGAAAAACTTTAAAGTTTATTATTATTGCTGTGTGCATGTGTGTGTGCATGTGTGTGTGCATGTGTATTGTGTGTGTAATGCTTATATGTAGACATGCATGTCACAGATGGTTTGTGGGGGTCAGAGGAGTAGTATGGAACTAGTTCTTTCTGTACACCTTCATGTGGGCTTCAGAGATTGAACTCACATTGGACAGACTTGTGTGGCAAGCACCTTTACTCGCTGAGTCATCTCACCAGTCATATGTTAGGCATTTTGTCTTTGCCATTACAACCAACACTTACAGCGTACCACACATTAGGTAGCGCTTACCAACCCCCAGCGTGTTGCCAGTTCCTTTCAGCTTTAGAGTTAGGTATGATCTGCACTGCTGCTTACAAAGGTTTAAGACTGTGAACATTAAGCCAGTTTTGCAAGGAAAGTCAAGACTAAATCCATCATGGAACAATGACGTCAATGCATACAGTTTCCTCCCTTATATTACTTCTCTGTCGAGTGGCACTTCCTTATACCAGACCATTGATTACATTGACATTTGGGCATCTATGGATGCCTCCTGGACAGAGGTCAACTATCTGAGCCTACCTGGCTGCTCCCATCACAGTCTTCCAGCATGGCTGTGGTGTTTTCAACAGAAATGCACTTGCCCAAGGCCACATTCACAAGCTAAGAAGAAGAACACAGAATATAAACATTCATTAAGAACAAACATATCTTGATGTATACGAAGGCATGCAGACACATTTGGAAACTGGAAGGTGGACAGCCATAAGGTTAATGGATAGCCGACAGTTTAGTTAAAGTTTGCAGGAGATGACTGTCTTGGTCACAGCTCTAGCAGAGACACAGTGTGATCCTGTCTCAGCACAGCTTCAATTTGTCATCGGAAGCCTGTGATTCAGCCACAGTGGCAACAGACATTAGCTTCTCATTAACTCTTTCCTGGGATGCTGAATGAAAGGGAGCGAAAGTTGCTAGAGGAAGGAGGTGATTTTTGTCTATTATTATTATTATTTGGCTTGAGTTTATCGCAATGCCTATCTTAAAAGTCAGTGTACACACCTCTGACTTCATTAAGCCATGAGTCATGGGCTAAGTTCCTCGGCTGACCCCTCTAAGCAATCTGACAGCTTAGGCACCGACTCCTAGCTAAACTGAGTCAGAGAAGAGCAGATCCCAGCTGACTCCCCATCAGACTTTTCCTAATGACTCAGTCAAGCTACGACTCATTACAGGGAAGTCACGGAAAGCTAAGGCAGAGCCAAGCATCAAGGCCCTTTCTGGCAGACTTGGGTTTTTTTTAATGAATTTACAGGGTCAAATATGGAGGAAGCTTCCCATCAGTCACCATCTATTGCAGGGAATGTTGATTCCCTTGCCCCCTCTGTCATTCTGGGCAGGACTTCTAGGATGGGAGGTTAAGAATGCAATTCAGACTTTTCAATTTGCTGGAGGGGTTCTGTAGAGGAGAATTATGTGTGTTCTGTGAAAGTCTGCTAAGCTTGGAAAATGGTGACCATGTTAGTGATTTTTTTCAGCTTTTATGGGGACCAATACAGAGTTCCAGTTTTGGGGTGTTATGACAATGGAGGCCTTATTGACCCCAGGATCACCGGATTTTGCAGGAGGGTGGTGTCTAGTGGGTTGCTGCCTACTTGTGAACGCATGCCTCAGCTTGAAGATAAGTAGGGAGTGGTTTGTGGAGTCAGAAAATGCAGAAACAGTGAGAGGGGTTACTGCAATCTCTAAGTAGGAAGAAATATCCTAACAGATACATACAGGGTGTGTGAGATGCGGGCATTTGCCAGTCAAGGAACTGGGGCAGAGCTCTTCCGCAGAAGGACAACACCTAAGCTGTCCTTTGGCCAGTGGGCACTAGGAAAAAGGGTTCATCTGCTAGAACAGGTAGAAAACAGAGATGCTAGATTCTCTCTGAGAATCTAAAGCGACAAACTAACCTTCATTTGGGTTTGAAATAAAAATGTGCCCCACCTGTTTGAGCTGGGAACCCTCGCTGCCCTTCAAGGAATATAACCAGACGTCAGCAGTTTTACTGTTCCGTCATTTCTAAGGAGTCTGACACGGGGGGATGCAGAGCAGTTCTAGAGGGCAGATCTCCACTAGGCAGTTTGGATGCTCACCTTACTAGACCTGGATGGAGGTGGGTGGTCCTTGGACTTCCCACAGGCAGGGAACCCTGATTGCTCTTTGGGCTGATGAGGGAGGGGGACTTGATTAGGGGAGGGGGAGGGAAATGGGAGGCAGTGGTGGGGAATAAATAAATAATAAAAATAAATAAATAAAAAAAAAGATCCCCAGCATGCTCCATTCACAGGTTCAAATGGCAAGTCCGGGCACTTCCACCAGCAGTAGGTCTGAGCAACAGTAGCATGCAGAAAATGTGCAGTGGCCCACTAAGCTCAGGAAGCAGGTGGAGGAGACGTGCGGGGGGGGGGGGGGGGGGGGGGGGGGGGGGGGGGATCCTGGAGGCAAAGAAGGAAATGGAAATCCTCATTACTCTTTGGAATTTTTTTTTTTCCCCAAGACAGGGCTCTTGTAGACCAGGCTGGCCTTGAACTCACAGAGATCTGCCTGCCTCTTTATTCCCAAGTGCTGGGATTAAAGGCGTGCGCCACCACTGCTCGGTACTCTTTGGATTTTATCAGAGAAATGAGTCCCATGTTCTCACGGCTCATTCAGAAATTATCCTATCCTAAAACAGGTTCGGAAAATTGGCTCCAACACAGAGGAGCCAGGTGCTTTCTCCTAGACCTCAGAGCCTTCCAGGTGAGAGCACACAGCAGGTGCTCAGGACACACACATGCTCCTTTCCCAGGTCAGCTTGGCTGCAAACTCCTGATGGCAGAACCAACACCACCCAGACAGTGTTTGGGAAGGCTTAGTTTAGATGGTTTCGTTGTTTTATTTTGTTTATTCATTTTATTTATTTATATTATTTTGTTTTCTTTCAAACAGTTCCTTCCTGCAGGAAGGCCTTGGAAGGCACTGGAGTATAAGCAAGAATTTCTCCCCGTGGGTCTTTAACGCAAACCATTTCAATGAAACAATAATAAAAAGAACGTATTGTGTAGATTTTATATTTTCTGGATTGAATTATTTGATTTTCCCAATGTGAAAGGTAGAGATCTCCCACACTGGATTACATAATTGTTACATCTTAGGTGTAGGTTGTTTGCTAACGATGTACTTCAAGGGAAAAACAAAGCTTGCTGAGGCTATTATTGATTTCAGATACTATTGACTACGAAAAACTACTCTCAATAAAAAAAAACTTTCACTGGTGTGCAGTATCTAGGTTTGCAGGCTGAATGATGAGAAAATGTGAAGCGAGAAACAAAAAGATAGATTTTATTTTCTGACAACCTTTTCTGGCTGTCATCATCTACTGAGTTATATCTGATATTAATTGGAAAAAAGTCTCAGAAATTTAAAAAGGTTATAACACTCTTGTCGGAAGGGTTTTTTTTTTTTTTTTTTAGAGCTTTTCAAAGATAGTGACAAGTTACAGGGAATCAAAAGATAGTTCCATTGCGCCCTCTGGTGGTGCACATTCAGTAATGCTGCTGCTGAGAGTCTAGAGCGAACTTTAGGAACTTCTCTAGCCACCTTAGTTAGGAGGATGGAATTTAAACATCTAAGTGGTAGGTCTGATGTGTCTAAGGCCAAGCTGTTCTTATTATTTAATTACCTAAAGTAGCTAGAGCTACTTTGACCAACCCCATATCCTTCTATTCTCTTGTGAACTATTCACAACATTTTGCTATAAACAATCCAGGTCATGTATATTCATTTACTGGTTAAATCTTATAAAATCAGCACAAATATTCAGACTACCTCCTGTTTTTGATCCCCTGGATTTCCCTGGTGAGGACAACAGCATTATTTTTATTACATCTTTGCTATCTGTGGATTTGACAGCCTGGGAGAGGGGCTAGTCTATAGATCTGATTCTCGGAAGAGCTAGGGATGGCTGTTCTGAAAAAAGCAGACACACTGACTTCTCCTGGCCTGGTCCTTTAAAAGAGCCTTTGTATTCTATATTCATACTTCACTTACGTATTATCCCTGTCCTCCACTCAATGACAGTTTCCAAAGGAAGAGACAAAGTCTATATCCCGAAGTCATCTTTCATTATCAGTCAACGCGCCCACATGATAGACTTCGTCAGATTCACCTCTAACGACTCTCAGCGCTTTGTTTCGGTGGCATTCATGTCTGTTGCTTAAACTATATTGTGTCATTCTTCCCTAAGCATATTTGAGGGGGTTTCTGTGTTGCTTTTGCCAAGGAAGACTTTAAGTGACCACATTAACTTACCACACCACTAGCTCTCACAACGGGAGCCTTCAAATCAGGGAAGACGTTGTCCAAGTACCACTTGAAACCTTTGCACTTGAGCTTCTTCCGCAACTCCTTTTGCTGGGTCAGGTTGCCCACATCCAACCCTTGGTCTATGAGGTGATCCCCGTGGCCGTAGAAGAGGTCCTTGTACTCATCGAGCCAGACTTCAGCCACCCGCACCAGGTTCCGCTCCACTGTCTTCATGCGGTCTTTGGGGAAGGAGTACGGATTGTCATTTCGGAAGATGTGGCCCACTCTGGAACAGGGAACAATCTCGATTTCACCACCACACATCCAGACCTGGGGATGAGTCAGTGAAAAGCACCAATTATCAAATGGTGGCTCACAAATCCTAGGCAAGGAACCACGCCATGCTACTGCCTGGAAATAGTCCTTCCAACTCAGAGACACTCTCACGATGGGAAAGAAGACTCAGTAGCTTTATTTAGTCTTATGCATGGTGGACCATGTTCACTTCCCCTTTAGATTCATCTATGTAAAATTTCTCTTTATCTCCTTTCCAAAGAATTCTTTATAGAACGCCAACCTATAAAATATATCACTAATGTTCCTGTTTGGGTTCAATCAGGAAGAGGCTACAGATGTCCATTTATTCACCTACTTCTTTGGGAGATCTGTAGGTCTGTGGTACATAATTCAAAACTATTCTTGGCCAGGACCTCCAAACTTATACCCATCTGAACACAGACCTCCCAGTCGCATAGGGAAGCTGGTGTTAGTGTTCTATTTTTTTAAGCCTGTCTCAGCATGATGCAGCGATGACTAAGTCGTTAATATACAGTCTCCAAAGATGCCACACCATGACACACACTTGGCTTGCTGGTGGCCTGCAGGGCTTTTTTGTCATTTGTATTCTCAAGGTCACCCCCACTACAGATATTTCCACTGCCTCCAATGTATTAGGGAATGATTCCAAGAGAGTCATTGTACGTTGCAGATGAATCCCAAAGTAATTTGCTTTAAGTGTGAATTTCATACGTTTTGTTCAGAAAAAGAAGAGTAACACCCCCATAATTAGACATAGAAACACTGTTGTGAAATATTAATTCCAATGGTTTTACAACAGTGGTTGATTCTTCCACATTAAGTCTGGGAAATGAGACAATCTATAGAACCTGTGCCATGGTGAAGTTTCTTCCCAGTTAGTCACATATGTGACTGTGTTGGTAAAGTAAAGCCACTTGGGAATCATAAACACATGTGTGTTTGTGTCCATATGTTGTGGTGCTTGTGTATGGGTGTTTACATGTATGTGGAGGTCACAGGTCAACAGTGTCTTCCTCAAGTACTCTCCGCCTTCATTTTTGAGACAGTTTCTCTCACTGATATAAAACTCAGTGATTGGACAAGAGTAGCTGGAATCACAGATACGAGTCTCTGCACTTGGCTTTCTACAAGAGATCTGAACTCAGGGCCTCATGCTTATGTGCCAATCTCTTTAGCAGCTCAGCCTCTCCCCGGCCCAAGAATGATGAAGTTTTAACTAGAAAGAAAGAAAGAGAGGAGGGAGGGAGAGAGGAAAGAAAAAAAGAAAGAGTAGCGAATACCTTGAATGACAGCTCCATATTTTCTCCTCCCCAAACATCAAGACCAGGGTCATAAGTTCCAAGTTCATAAAAGTAACTTTTATCAATAGAAAATAATCCGCCAGCCATGACTGGGCACCTACAAAAAGGAAAGATGATGTTACACTTTGGTCCCAGGACAACTTGACTTCTAGAGTGGTTCCTCTGTGTCTGCGTGGGAGTCTGGAGTTGTTTTTGGATAGGTTCGGGGAGGTCTTGGAATGGAGCCTGCAGCTTGGCTTTAGTGAAAAGTTTCTGCTTCACAGGGGCTGAACTTGATGAGAGTCTGAGAAGACGTGGGCAGGGCTAGGATTCTTACCTGTCAATTAGGTTCTGACACAAATCCCAGGGTTATTGTGGATTCCTGTGGCAGGGCTAAATCAGGGGCATTTCAAATTGAATTTGGGGGTAAGAAGTAATGACCTAACTTCTCAGGAAACTTTGTTTGCTTTGATAAGGTCTCGAATAGAAGTATAATTATTTTTGAGACATGGGTATTACTGTAGCTGAAGCTACCCTTGAATGTGCTATCTTCCTGCTTCTGCCTCCTAAGTACTGAGATTAGGGGTATGTACCATCCTGTCTAGTTGATACCTACAATTCCTACTGTTTTTCAGAATGATAGAGTATAAATTTTGTAACCTATTTTATGTCTTTCTAAAAAGACCTTGGAGTGCTGCCTAGTCTTCAGTCTTCACACACTTACCTTATCACGTCAGTTTCTTTAATCCCGCTTTTTGCAACAACATCTGGAGGAATTGTTCTCCAGCCAAAGTTCATGGGCCACGTGAAGACTCCTCTTTGGAAGTTGTCCACTGTCATGTAACTAATGCAAGACAAACAAAAACAAATGAAGTTGTGAATGCTAAGGTTAGCTGTATCTCTCTAGAGTTCATGAACATAGCCTCATGACTGGTCCGGGTATGGGACAGATGCTCACACACGTGATTCTGCACCCTCACCTCCTAATATCCACTCAGGGGAGCCGATGGATGTGCTTTTGCACTGCTGGTTAGCTCGTTTGATTGCTTGCTTTCAATTTACGCTCATCTTTTGGTCGATAATGGCCATTTTAGATGAAGAAATGAAAACATTTAGATAAAGTTCCCATAAAGGGTCCGATTAGAAACCTGAGAAAAAGAAGTACTTTGGACAATCAAATGGGATGAAGTTGATAATGAGAAGTTGGATTTCTTAATAGGTGAAAGTTGGTGTGCTAGCCAAAAAGAGTACTGAGCTGGTAAGTGCTGATCCCAAGATATCACTCATGCGTTTCTCCCCCGTTTGGTAAGTAGCCATGCTTCTTAAGTTTGATCACAGCACGGATGAGGACTAGTAGTCTCTGCTGCTTCCCAGTGTCAGAATGTGGCAGCGTTACCTCATGTCCTTGTCATTGATGACTTCAATTACTGGGCAGGCCACTTTTTTCCTATTTAAGTAAACTCTTTCAAGAAGCGGTTCCAGCCAGCCCACATTGCATTCCACATGAGAGTCTAGGAATGTCAGCACATCCCCTGTAGAGGGAAGAAAGGAAGAAAAAAACACAAAACATTGGAAAATATGGTAGGATACAGCCAGTCTCTGTGCTTTGTGCTCAAAAGCGTCAGGGATTGTTTGAGAAGCGTGACCGTGAACACGGGTGTCTTCTATTCTCACTGATTTCCTGGTTCCTAGAGTTTCAGTTTGGAATATATGGGGAAACTTTAGGAATAGAGATTCTGTGACGCAATCACCACTCACATCTAGAAACAACCGATACGCTACTGCCATTTGCCTGCTATTTTTGCTGCTGTGCTTAAACCGTGACTGAAGCATCTTCAGGAGGAAAGAGTTGATTTGGCTTAAATGATCCAACCATGGTCTGTAGTAATATTTTGTTTATATTTTAAAACATGAAGCTTGCCTGAAGATCAGAGAATAAATCAGCCACCCTGGCCACACAGTGCTGACACACACTAGTTTGTCATAGAAACTGGGCGGTAGTGGTACACACCTTTAATCCCAGTCTTAGAAAGGAATGTAAGAGGGGAGGAGAGGAGACAGCTCTCAGACACAGTCTCATTCTGAGGATTCCCGGAGGCAGGATTGCCATTTTGGACTGAGATAGAAGTAAGAGCTAGTGGTTGGCTGTTTTTCTTTGCTGACCTTCAGGTTGAACCCCAATATCTGCCTCTGGGTTTTTATTAGTCATGCTGCAATGGTCCACCATTAATGGAAGCCAAGGCTTGAACCCAATGGCAGAAACTTGAAGCAGACACCATAGAACACCACTTACTGACATGCTCAGCTTGCTTCCCTACAAAACCCAGGACCGATGCCCAGGGGGGCACCATCCACACTCCGCTAGCTAGTCTTCTGTCAACTTGATACATAACTATATATAGTTATTTGAAAGGAGGGAAACTTAATTTTAAAAACTGTCTCCGTAAGATCTGACTGTCGGGAATTTTCTTTATTAGTTATTGATGGGGAATGGCCTTCAAAATGTGGGGGTGCCATCTCTGGACTGGTGGTCCTAGGTTCTGTAAGCAAGCAGGATGATGAAGCTATAGGAAGTTGAGCAGTAAGTGACTTCCCTCCATGGCCTTTGCATCACATCCTACCCCCCAAGTTCTAGCCCTGCTTCAACTGTTCTGACTTCCTCCAATGATGGACTATGATCTGGGGTATAAGCCAAATAAACCCTCTCCTCCCTAACTTGCTTTTGTGTGATGGTGTTTCATTGCTGCAATAGAAGCCCTGACTAAGATGCACATTAATCTTTCATCAAAAATGCTGTAAACACATGCCAGTCTGACAAACATAATTCTTCAGATGAGGTTCCCTTTATTCTGGCTATTGTTTTCACTGACCATTCCAATGTATGACTGCACAGGTAGCATTAAGCTCAGTGCCTGTGTTCTACCTGGGTGTCTTATCGGTTCCTTGCTACAAACCTAAGTGTAGATCTATTCTCATTTCAACTTAAGAGATAAAGTCTGGAGGAACAAACAATAACCAGAGTAACAAACTTCCCAAGGTAATTCACCTAGGGTGCCATGTAATATTATGAAGCAACTCCTTACATAGTTCATGATGGGGATCCGAGTCTGCATTCACTCCCCCACCTGGCTCAAATCTTACCTCATTAATATTCTCATTCATTTATTGCCAAGACCTGATGGAAGAAGCACCTGCTGAAAACATATTTTGGAATTTTACATTGTTGTATTTTGGGGAAGGGGAGACTCTCCTACGCACGGCTGCCATCGCTCCACTTTCAAACATTTGTTTTAAAATAAAATCTCAGGATTTCTTAGATAAGCAAACAAAGAGCTCCCTGCGTAGCTGGCTCCCGGTGGTGTTTCTAATTGTGGCGGGATCATCTGTGGAAGTGTGCTGCCGCGTTTGTGCAGAGAGGCTGAGAGGCACGAGGGAATGGGGAGCAGACGGACGTTAAACACAAACAATGTGCGTCTTTTGACCTATGGTACACTCCTAAGATCTACCTAATACTCAATCTTTTGACAAATGGCCTTCTATTTTTGTGAATTGCTCAAACTCAAACTCAGCGCAACTTAATCCAATCTTGGTCATAACCTGACAAATTCTCTGTTTTCTGGGTGAGTATTAGCATGCCGGATTGCTTGAAGATGGATTTTATTAACAATAAAAGCAATAAAATGAACTGATAAAATAAAATGAAAATGGCCAACCTCAGAAAATGCAAGTGCATTCTCTCCCCACTCTTTCCCGTTCCTTTCACCCTTGCTCAAAGACTGCCTCTGCACCCCCATCCCCACCCCAATAAACTTCTCACGAGAGCTCTGCTGTGCAGTGTGCAGTGTGACTTTGTGGTGCCCCTTGGCTTCAGTCCCCCAAGGTGCCTCCCACTGTTAAATCATTACACTCATCTCTTAGTATCCACAAGGTGCTGGTTCCAGGCTTCCTGCTGATACCATTCTCAGGTGCTGATGTGGCTTATTTATATATGACAATGCAGTATTTCTTTACTTTAAACCATTCCTGGATTACATATGATAACTCATCTTACGTAAATAGTTGTGAGACTGAACTGCCGGGGGAATAATGACAAGAAAAAACAGCCTGTGTATGTCTAGTACAAATGAATTTTTCCATATTTTTTTAATCCAAAGTTGGTTGAATCCATGTATGCAGCGCCTATGCATAAGGAGGCCTGGCTAAATACATGTATATGCATATACAACTATTCTAAGTGTTAAAATGGATCTGCGATTTTATATTTGTATTATGATTTAAATGCAGGCAGTTCTTCAAAAATTAGAGAAGACAAATGTGTCTGTTTTAGGTTCCTTGAGCAGAATTTCTTCTAGTCAGTAGTGAGCAATTAAGATGCACCTAGGAGGGTTTCCCAGATGGAGATGTTTGGATGGAATGTTCTATAGATGTCTGTTAAGTCCATTTGAGCCATAACATAAGTTAGTTCACTTATTTCTCTGTTAATTTTCCGTTTGGCAGTCCTGTCCAGTGGTGAGAGTGGGGTGTTGATGTCTCCCACAATTAGTGTGTGGGGTTTAATGTGTCATTTAAGCTTTAGTAGTGTTTCTTTTGCATATGAGGGTTACCTTGTATTGGGGGCATAGATGTTCAGTATTGAGATTTCTTCTTGATGGATATTTCCTGTGACGAATATGAAATGTCCTTCTTTGTCTCTTTTGATTGATTTTACTTTGAAGTCTATTTTGTTAGATATTAGAACAGCTATGCCAGCTTGTTTCTTAGGTACATTTAATTGGAAATCTTTTCTCCAGTCCTTTAATCTGAGGTGATGTCTGTCTTTGAGGTTGAGGTGTGTACTCAGCAAAAAGATGGATTCTGTTCTCATATCCAGTGTGTTAGCCTCTGTCTTTTTATAAGTGAGTTGAGTCCATTTATATTAAGGAATATTAATGACCAGAGATTGCTAGTTCCTGTTATTTTAGCTTTTGCTGTTAGTGATGTTATTGTCTGTTTTTTTTTCTCTTCTTTGTGATTTGCTGCTGTGAGATCATCTATTGTCTGTGTGTTTGTGGATGTAGCTAACTTCCTCAGTTGGAGTTTTCCTTCTAGAACTTTATGTAGGGCTGGGTTTGTGGCTAGTAATTGTTTGTTAAATCTGGTTCTGTCCTTGAATTTTGCTTTCTCCATCTATGGTAATTAAAAGTTTTGCTGGGTATAGTAGTCTGGGCAGGCATCCATGGTCTTTTAATGTCTGCCTAATGCTTGACAAGGACTTTCTGGCTTTTAATGTTTCCATTGAGAAGCCAGGTGTAATTTTGATAGGTCTGTCTTTATATGTTACTTGATCTTTCTCCTTTGCAGTGCTTAATATTCTTCTTTATCCACTATATTTAGTGTTTTGATTATTTTGTGACAAGAGGACTTTTTTGTACAGTCTGTCTGGTGTTCTGTAAGCTTCTTGTATCTTCATATGCATATCTTTCTTTAGGTTGGGAAAGTTTTCTTCTATGATTTTGTTGAATATATTTTCTGTGCTTTTGAGTTGAGCTCCTCCTTCTTCTACCTACCCCTATTATTCTGAGGTTTGGTGATGTGGAAGTGATTTCTTATTAATAAAGAAACTGCCTAGGCCCCTTGATAGGCCAACCCTTAGGTGGGTGGAGTAAACAGAGAGAATGCTGGGAGAAAGAAGCTGAGTCGTCGAGTCGCCATGGTTCTCCCACTCCAGACAGATGCAGGTTAAGATCCTCCCTGGTAAGCCACCTCGTGGGCTACACAGAATATTAGAAATGGGTTAGAACAATATGTAAGAGCTAGCCAATAAGAGGCTACAGATAACAGGCCAGGCAGTGTTTTAAAAAAATACAGTTTCCGTCTAATTATTTCGGGGCATAACCTAGCCATGCGGGTGGCTGGGTGCCGGGAACGCAGCCCTGCTGCTCCTATCTCAACAGTTTGGTCTTTTCATGTTGTCCCATATTTCCAGGACATTTTGTGTTAAGCTTTTGTTAGATATAATGATGTCTTTGACTGATGAGTTTGTTTCCTCTATCATATCTTTAATGCTTGAGATTCTCTCTTCCATCTCTTGTATTCTGATGTTTATTCTTGTATTTGGTCATTTCCCCATGTTTTCCATTTCCAGAATTCCCTTAGTTTGTGTTTTCTTTAGTGTCTCTATTTCAGTTTTCACGGCTTGAGTCATTTCTTTCACTTGTTTGTCTTTTCTTGTTTTTTTTTTCTTAAGGAATTTGCTGATTTCTTCCATTTTTTTGTTTGCTTTTTCCTCCTTTTCTTTGAGAGAATTTTTAATTTCCTCTTTAAGGACATCAAACATTCTTCTAAAGTTATTTTTAAGTTATTTTTTTCTGCTTCATCTGTACTGCAGTGTTCAAATTTTGCTGTTGTAATGTCACTAGTTTTTGGTAGTGTGTTGTCCTTTGTGGTGTTGAGTGTGTTCTTACTTTGTCTATCTAGCTTTTCCTAATTGGTGTAGCTGGGGCCTTTTCTCTGGTGATCAATCTTCCAGGTGCCAGTGGATTCAAGGTTCAGATAGTTGCTCCTCATCGTGGAGTTGAGGCCACAGTTTCAGTTACCCCAGAGGTCGCTTCGTGTTCCCAGAGCTTGCTCTGCAATCTTGGATGTCGTTTAGGCCTGCTCCCATGGAGGTCACTGGCTTGGCTCTGGTCCCACAGAGGTTGCTCTCTCAGGCCTGCTCCAGTGGAGTTCGCTGGCCTGGTTCTGGTCCCGCAGAGGTCACTGGCTCAGACTTCCTCTGGTAGAGGCTGTTGGCGCGGGCCTCATCCTGGTGTGATTACTGGCTCAGGCCTGGTACTGCAGAGGTCACTGGCTCAGATCTGCTCCCTTGGAGGTCACTGGCTCACCTAATCTTTATTTCTTAACAGAAGTCATTGTCGAAAGAGTTTGACAATTACTATATCAACACTGAGTCAGTGTTTTCAGGGGTACTGATGAATGTAAGACACAGTTTTAAATTTTTACATTTGAATTTGTTAAACATTATTTTATGGGAAGAACTGCAGCCACTTGCTGTTGTTTTAACTAAGTTCACCTGAAGAAAGCTTGACCTCCCACACCGCTGTCTAATAGCTGGGCTATTTGTGAGATCATTGCCAGCATGATTCTCCCAGCATGTGCAGGCTGGGAGAAATCTCATTGATCAGAAGCATGGTTTTCATGATGTATTCATTAGCTTTCTCCACATGGACATCTACTTTTCATTTTAAAACATGAGCTGCGTAAGAACTCACAGCAGTCCCTTCAGTCAAGGCTCCAACATCCACCTGATTCCAGTTCCAGGGTTTAAGGTTTTTTTTTTTTATTATTATTTCTCTGATTCCCTATCTCATTCTGTCGTATCTGACAGTGTGTCCTGTAGACTCAATGCACAGTATAAATTATAAAATTATGAATTTGATTGTTCCTCCAACTGGCCTTGTTCTTTTCTGTTCTAGGACAACTGTAATAGCCCCCTAACTGAATTCCCTACTTCTCCTCTCTCGACTTTCTGATATCTGTTTTCTATATGGAGACCATTTAGCTCTCTATTCACTGACCTTCACTGATTTTCTAACATTTCTTACTCGGCACACAGAACTGTCAGGAAGTCTTATTTTTGTCTTTTCCTCCAAATGAACTTATTACCACTATTCTTCTCTGGTCAGTTCTCCTGAGCACCTATGAACTCCTTCTCTGCTTTGAAATTGCCAAGCTCATATCTGCACTTGAACGCTTGCACACGTGAACAGTCTTCAGCCACATACCAGCTGAAAGCTTCCTTTCCTAAATTATTTCTTAACTATTATATTGTTGCATTATTCGTAGATTTACTTTACTAAGAAAATTAGTCTTGGAAAACACAGTTGGCCAGCTGAGAATGATTGGGGACACGCACAATCAATGGAAATGACATAGATGTATAAAAATTTTGTAAAGAAACATTATTTTGTCCAATAAATGTATGGCAAAAATGTAAAGTCACTGCTGGGCACACAACTCACTGGTAACACAGGCACTTAGCATGCTCAGGCCCTGGGTTTAATCCTTAATATATAATATTAATATATTAATTTGTAATATAGTCATAAATGAGAATAAATACAAATTTAAAAAATTTGCTACCACCATACTGCCAATTTTGTTGTGATACAGTTACTGCTCCCTTAAAATTTCTATTACGAACTGTCATGGTTGATCTTGGATGTTGGCTGGAACAGAAATCACCCAAAAGGGTTCCAGGCACCTTGCAAGGCAATTTCTTCAACAAGTTAATTGAAGTGGGACTATGACCCTAATGTGGACAATAGCTTCCAGTGGCAGCCCAGATAAAAGTGATAGAAGAGAGTTTTGTGTTTTGCCTGATCACTCTGCTCTTGATAGCACGTTTATAATCTGCTGCAGCTGGGACATTTCTTTGCTAATGTCAGAACCCAGCTGATTTAGATTTCTACTGTGGGCTATAGGCCAGTCTTGTGTAACAACTTCTTCTGAGATTAAAGCATGTCCAGCTTGAAGGAAAATGTCTTAGGAGAGGATTACACAAGGAGGTGAAATAACAGGATGTTCTAAGGGGAGCTGAAATAGACAGGAAGTAGACAGCTCCAATAGCTTCAGGATGTTCCTGAAACTGATCAGATTCACTAGGCCCCTCCATTACTGAGGGTATTCAAATAGTGAAGACTGCCCAGTAGAGACTTTTAGACAAGTCCAGCTGCCTGGAAGATGGAGAGGACAGAACTATCGAGAGACAAAGACCAGCTGAGCTGCCTGGAAGAGGCTCAGACCAATTGAACCACCCCGGAAGGACACTCTGCATCCAGTTGAGCTGCTTGAAGGGTGTGTGGTGTATTCCAAGTTCCTAGCTTTTGTGAGCGGTCACTCACACTGGGGTAAGTGTGGTGCAGCTCTCTTTGAGTCATTCTGCTTCTGTAAGTGACCGCTCACCCCCAGCCCTGTAAGGAAACCAATACAACTCATTCATTCACTAAATTGGATTTTGGTGGCATCTTTCATGGGTCCTCTATCTTAGGTGAGTAGATTCCTTGTTTCACCTCCCCAGGAAAAGTCAGTAATATAATGCTATTCCTCGGTAATTCTCTAGACCTTCAGTGACAGAGTGAGGCCACCTAAATGTGCTCAGTCTTGTAGACTGAACATCAACTGTTCTCAGCCTCTCCTGTGTGTGTCAGCCATGGTTGGACTACCAAGACTGCATTGTGTAAGGCAATCTAATAAATCTCGCTTTCCTCTACATTCACTCTATCAGCTCTGTTTTTCTAAAAAATGCTGACTAATTCACAAAGATATCAAGTTTTATTTTAGCAAGCCAGTGGGATGATGAGAGCATTTGGGCGGTTGAGGTACAAGAAAATAAGATAGCAGTGCGAATCTATTTACTCCAAGCTGGAGACTGGCAATGCCAAGGCTTCTAGAGGCAGGGTGGTGCCAACAAGCAACAAAGAGTTGTAGTTGTTGAGAATGTTGACTTTGGGCTCAGTGTTCTGGGTTCAGATGTACGTTACCCTGATCTGCACGAGACAATGAGAACAATTATCCAATGACTGTACCTGTTTCACAGAGGCACTGTAGGGATGAAGTCAGTTGGTATGGAGGTTATAAAGTACCATCTGATTCACAGAATCTGCTTCTACTGTGGAGCACAGAACCTTCCATAGAGAGATGTAAAATTGATGCTGAATGTTTTAGCATTTCTAGAATACTCACTGCCAGGAAGGATTCACCTACCAGTCACTCTAGAGCACTACAAAGAGAAAAGGAAGTTGGTGTGCTACTCTTTGGAACCACAGAAATAACTGTGGGGAAAAGAGAGGCGGCTTTAGAAAGGAGAGGTGAGAGGACCAGAGAATTAAACTATGCTGAAGTCTTCAACTACTTAGGGATTCGGCTACAAAATCTCTGTTTTAAATTTGGTCAGAGTGGTCAAATTCTGGACAATGTGAGCACTTAAGAAGAATGATGGTCAAATATTCCCATGGAATTTCCTCAGAAACAGTCTCAGGGGAATTTGATGGGGAGAAGGTTAGAAAGAGGGTAGAAGAAGAGAGGGAATAGCAAAAGAAAAGGGAGAATGACAGAGACAAGGTCTCAGAGGATCTCTATTACACATGGATAGCACCGTAAGAAAGAAAGAGTTATGGAAAAGCTGTTTTGTAAGCTCTCCTTCCAATAACTGATTCTAGAGAAGGCCAGCAGTTTATGTTCAATCACTGTGTAAAATGTGTGAGCCTTAGGTTAATCTTTGGAAGCAGAGGATTAAGCCACAACTTACTTCTAACCACAGAAGGCAAAGATCTAGCTGTCAATATCTTAGTGTAACCATGAGTAAGACAGCCTGACAGTATAGGAAGAATCAAAAAGTGGGCAACTGCTGTGACCGATAGTCAAACTGCACATATTAATCACACTCAAATCATTTATCCTACATGAAGGATAACACGAAGACTGAAATTCCAGAATATGGTCAGTTGCACAGGGAGTCACGGAGTTGGCCTGGCCTAGATGCTTTGAGAGGCATGTGTCATAGGTTTTTCAGGTTAGAGTCAGGCTCCTGGGGCATACAATGTGCCTTCCAGTTCCTGAGTGGTCAAGCAAGCATGCAGGCTTGACAGGACAGTTGGTCTTAGACATTAATTTTGTGTCCCCTGTATGACTTGCAAATGTCACTGTATCCTGGCAGCTAGAACTGTATCGATCCTGGCAATTGCCATTATATTCTGTTTCGGATAGAGGCATAAACATTCTGATTGCACCCAATAATATTGTCATAGCCTCGGTTGTGCTGTGGCCCCTCCAACCAGCCATGTCAGGTGATCTTGACCTGGTAAGTAAGTACAGGCACTTAAACAACTGTACAATTATATTGCCTGAGATTTGAAAATAACACACTATGTTGTTGCGGTGTGTGAGGGGCTGAGCAGACTGGGAGACTAAAAGAACAAACTAACCAAAGCGCATAAAACTTAAAAAAGACTTTGAAATGGAAAATACTAGGAATAATGAGAAAAGTTGAAAGGATATTTATAGGTATTTGCTGTTTTTCAACGTGAAAGTGTGCTTTATTTTCCCCCTGTAATGCCCAGTGCAAACTCAGGTGTATAGTGTCATGGTGTCACAGTGTCTGTGAATCTCTTTTCAAAGGCCCAGAAAATATGGCTAATGTATCTATGACTGTGTGTGTGTGTGTGTTGGGGGGAGACAAAGCATGCATTTTTCAAGAATTAAAAATCAGTAGCCATAAGAGGTGAACAGGTGGGTACTCCTGTTGTTCTATTCTTTCAAACTCTGCATGTTTTGAAAATGTCCTAAATTAAAGCAGACCTATGAGGAAAGCGAAAGTGGAGCAGTTCCTTACCTGTTGCATTCTGTGCCCCTGCCAGCCTCGCTCTGATCAAGCCGTGTCTCTCTTTGAGGCGAAGAATCCGCACTTTTGGAAACTGAGACATGTATTTATCCAAATCAGCTTTTAGGTAGTCTGTATCAGAGTAAGAACAAGTACAGAATACTTTAATTAACTAGGTTTACCAGCGGTGTCTTTGCGATGTCAAATTCAAAGCTATGATGTCATTTTTTTTTTTTTTTTTGAGAGTGGATTTCACTATATAGCCCAGGCTGGGTTTGAACTCTTGATTCTCCTGCCTCTGCCCCCAGATACTAGGATTACAGGTATATGCTACCACATCAGATTTTTCCAGAATATATTTGCAGCTCACTTTTCACTAATTTTGTGGATGTGAATTTCTTTTTTGTTTGTTTCGAGACAAGTTTTCTCTGCGTATCCGTGGTTGTCCACGAATTTACTCTGTATACCAGGCTGGCCTTGAACACAGAGGTTTACCTGCCTCTGCCTTCTGAGTGCTGGGATTAAAGGTGTCTGTGTCCCCACCACAAACTGGGTGTGTATAGTTTTCTTAAAGAGGACCCCGAAACTGTAAGAGATTCAGGGTCCACAAAAACTCATCAAAAAGAGACTTCATCAAAGGTCTCCTTTTGCTTGGTAGCCTGCTGCTATTTCTCTGTATGTTATTTAAAACCACTTACTAACATTTTCAGTTCTCTTCTGGCGTCTTATTGCTGCTTGAGTTCACTGCGATTATTGTAGCAACAACAGAACCATAGAAAGCACATGTATCACTGTCGTTACAGATCAAGGCTCAGCTGTTTCTTTGACATCACCATCCATTTGCTGTTCTTGCTAGTTCAAAAAAATGGGTAAAAATTTGGGAATTCCCATTGTGGCATCACTAGGCCTGTGGGACTTCCTATATACAGAGAAAATTTGGTAATGTAAAGAGCAAAATTCTTCGATGTGGGAAAGAAAACAAAACTTAAAAACTGTGGAGACTTCTGCTTCCAGACTGCACTAGAACCATTATCTTTCTGATCCTTTGAAAATGTGTCTTCTCCATGCCTAACTTCACATGGGATCTTCCTTATTCTTTAGGAGAAGCCAGGGAACTTCCATTTCTTTGCTTTCCATAGAGTTTAACTTTGGCTGCTGACAGTAGACGAATAATTCTATTAACAGAGTGGACTTTGCTCATTACAGTCCACGAAACAAGACTTATTCATCATCTTCTAGACTCAAGTGACCAGCTCAGGGAATGGCAGCACTGAAATCACCTCTACAAAGCAGAGGACTCTCAATGGGAATGGGTAAGACATTCCCCAGAAGACCAGGGAGTGATATAGTCTTCAAGATGTGTTTGTGGCATGTATGGGTGTTTTACCTGTGTGTCTGAGTACCGCAAGCATGCAGTGCCAGTTGAGGCCAGAAGAGGGTAGTAGCTCCCCTGAAACTGCATTTACACAGTTGTGTGCTGCCTTGTCAGTGCTGGGAATTGAAGCAGGATCCCTTGGAAGAACAGCTGGTGCTCTCACTTGCTAAACCATGTCTCCAGCCTCAGTTAGTAATATGTGATCAGCACTTAGATTGGTTTCTGTGGCTCCACATGAAACAATAATTTGGCATTTACAAATACTTAAGCTTCATCCAATTGCCCTCTGACCCCCAACTACTGTTGTGTCCTTCCGTCAAGCTTTAACGTGTCAGGGGAATCCAAGGCAGGCTTTACCTTTGGTGCTGAAGTCATCCACCAGCAGAATCTCCTTGATGAGGTGTGGAGGAGAGCGATTGAGGACGCTGTGCACGGACCTCAGGAGAGCGGACCACACCTCATCTACAAAGCACATGATGATGCTGGTGGTGGGGAGGTCATTGTGAACCAGCTGCTCTGCACACCTGGGCCAGGGAATAAGCACAGCTGAGGAGACAGGCCGCTGAGATCAAAAAGGGTCCTAAATAATCTCTCTGTGTGCGCGCACACACACGCATCTATCGTCACCGGCTTATAAGCGTACCAGGATCATTTTATATGCCTCAACAATAGCATTTGTTGAAATGACTAACAATGACAGACTCCATCTCTTCTTTGGTGGTGTAGACTGCACTGAAGAGGATAGGGCCTTTGTAGGTTAGATTCTATTTTAATCCTACCACCAAGATACTAACCTCAATACTAACCTATGTATTCTTTCTGTGCCTCAGATTTTCACATCTGCCAAACAAAGTGATGGTCCTCTAAGAGAGTCTAATGAACTGTATAGAAACCGCCTACCAGAGTTCCTGGCACAGGCATTCACTGAACGGTAGCTATTGCTACCATTATTAAATTATATACCAGAAGAGAGCATACTGAGTTATTTAGTGTTACTAAGTAGTTTAGGACTGCCTGTATACATAGCCATCTGCCAAACGCCAAAAGAGATATCCTTCACCCGCCTCAGCATATGAATGTATTTATGGTACAATGTACGTGTGCCAAATAATCGCACTCTTTCCCACTTCTCTATTTGGAAGCTTCTTGCTGTGACGACTGCAGAGTGGCCATACTTCAAGTTGTTTTTCTGGCACAGAAATGAGAGCCAGTCTAAGAGGGAGCAGGTGCTCCATGGGCTCCACCTGGCCATGGTTTCCTACAGGCTCTGCAGCTCACGCTGCCTCGCTATGGCATTTTCTGGGTCTGGTCTGGGTCACTGTTCCAGGACAGCGCCTAGCAGGACCTTCCAAGTTATATTAGCCATTCTGCTAACATGCCTCCTCCTGGTAACATAATAATCAGCGATGAAGGTCAATAAATACTTAAGTGCTCTGACTTATTTCACTGTAAGATTCCGACCTCTTTCCCCTTTAACCCATGAATGGCTGAAGTCACGGACAGACTGGCTCTTGATTATGGTAGTAAGTTCCAGAGCTGGGATGGCAACTCTGCTTCACCCAGGCTCTAGAAGTAACCATGGAAGTTTAAATCCCCAGAGTAAAAATAGCTAGCAGTCGATGCAGCATTTGTGAGAACCAGAGCTTCTGCTAAGTATCATGGCTCAGTTTTGTTTACTTAATGAATAAGAAGACACAGATAAAAGCAAATGCTATAGTCAAACAAACAACATTTGATCGTTTTTTTGTTCATGGTTGCCAAAGTACCATTGTGAACATCATTTAATTCCATACCATGGTAATTGCTTGAAATGCAGTTGTGTAATGTATTATCACATACTTCTTTAAATGGGGCAAAATGAAGCATGAGATGATCAATGACTCACCCAGCCTCATTTACCTAGTTAGACCACACATGGGAATGTAAAATGATGTAGTTTTCATTTCGTTGGCCTACAATGATCTTCTGCACTAATAGAGTGTGGATCGGGAATCAAATAAACATACGGTCACATATCACGTATCTCTAATTACTGGCTTGGAGAAATTGCATAACTTCTTTGAACTTTAACTTGCCAACTACAAAGCAGGGATTAAAAACTTTTCTTACTTAAATATATATCTGTCACAGAGCTTTCTCAGAAGAAATAAAAGCAAACCCACCATGGTCTATAATTTCAGTCTTTCCCCAAAGCAGTTGGTTAGCATAATAACCAAAAGGCCTTGGGAAAGCATACATCCAACCTTTAGCCCCAGAAAACAGACTCAGAAAGTTTGCACAGAAATTGAGAATCTTTGTCATAAACAAAATAAGAGACAGAGGAATGACTCACAAGTCACCGATCCGTCAGTGGGGGAATGCAGGTTCTTATGTAAAGCTAATTCAGTACCCTCATAATATGTGATTACACCTAAGAAAACACTAGAGGGCTGAAATGAACATGTACTATATTTTCAGGTGCTATAAAGTCAAAATAACACGTTTCAATCAGACGTCTTAATATGATTCGAAAGCTAACGTAAAATAACAGCCTGCCTAAATTAATCGTATTCTGCACAAAGAAAACCTGCATTGGAATTTCTATAAAGAATGAGCATTTCTGACTACATTTAAGGATTATATTAATTACCCGTGGTTGCTGTAACACCTACGATTTCTGCTCCACAGCTTCTCCTGATTTGCCTAGCCTCTCTCACATGTTGCTTCAAGCGGAAAGAAGCTACCAGGCCAACCCTTCAAAGCTGTGCTTGCTGCTCTCCTTAACAAAAGTCCAAGTTCATCACCTTCAGCTTCTGCTCATTTTTATGACAGAGGACACAATTCAGCCAAGCTCCCTACCGCTATGTAACACACATTACGTCTCCGCAGTTAGCCATCACCCCCTACTCAGTCCCTGTTAACATTCAGGAGAAACACTTCCAGTGCCCGTATTTTGACCAATATCTTCTCATGATGACATCATGTTCCCAGAGGTGATAGAAATGTCCTCTGCAGAGTGCCTTGCTTTCTTCCGGACCTCGCTGGCATTCTTAGCATCCATGTTGTTTCTCCTGACAGTTTCAGGACAACCATCCCAGATATTTTCTATTATAGTTGCTCAAATTCTGCCAGTCTCTGCCCTCTATTTGCCAATTAAAAGTTTGGCCACACAGTATTCAACTTTTCGTTATGTCGGGAACTGTTGCAGACTGTGGGAATTAATAAGTAAATACGCACCTGAAGAACCATTGCCATTGGTTCACCCCAAGGACTTAAGAGGCTAAAGCACGAAAGAGCTTTTATTTGGGAGGGGCAACATGCCTATATATCTTTAAATATGGGATTCACCTTCCCTCCAACTCAAAGATAGGTTTACATATAAGTAAGAGAAATGTTGAATTATTCATTTATTCCCTCAATTTTCTTTCTTTCCTTGTAAAAACCACGTTTGGATCTTCTTTAAAGTTTATAATTTTTACAGAAATACAATAGAATATTAATTGTAATACTTTGCCATGAATTAAATATTGATACTCAAATTTAGGAAAGAAAAAGGAAAAAGAAAGACACCAATTACAGGTTTGCCAAGTACTGATAAAAAATGTAGTTGACTGTATAATTACCAACAGTTGAAGGAGAACTTTGGAAAAATGATAAATTCTGGATTTTATTTTCTAAAGTAGTTTATATCTCTAAGGTCAGGTTTCAGCTCTCAGAAAGTGTGGCGGTCAGCAAGAATGCGTGGAGTGACGGTGCAGTGGGTCACTAGGAGGGAATGGGTGGGGCTGGAGTGCAGTGATTAGTTAAGCCGGATGCTGTGTAAATGGCTGTGTATGAACAGACAGTGCTGTGTAGACGGCTGTGTAAGCAATCCGTAAAATGGAAGCAGGAAGCAGCCATAAGGGAGGGGGTGAATTTGTCAGCATCTTTCTCTCCCTTCCCTGAGAGATGAAACCATATTTATACGTACAAGGGATGGTACAGGGAGAATTAACAGCTGGCCCAAAATACCAATGATTGTCAAAATTTTCAGTGGGGTAGGCCTTCCTTTCATTGGTTAACCTTAAGTGCGGTTGAAGCAACTGACGTGTCTAGTCTCTTTAGGTCATTCAATATTTTCCTGCTCTCCTGGGATTGTATACTCTTCTGATTTTCACCCCCTTTTCAGGCTCATTTTTCTTCAGTTTCTTTCTTAGCCCCCACCTCAGTTCTTCATAACTATTAAGTAGGGAGAGCTGAGTGGGTGACCCAGCATTAGGTCACACACATCAGTTAAACACATGCCAAGTATCCACCAAGCAGCTTTCTTGTTGCCTATTTGCAGGCACAGTGGGCCAGGGTAGACAGCTTTCAGTACTAGTAACATCTGTCCCTGATACAAGTTGTCACAGCCACCCAGTTTCATGGAGATTCCATAGGTTGCAAAACCACTTCAAACTGTTCTCCCCTGACCCAAGGAAAGCGAATTATCTTTGTTTCTGATTTGTCAGAGTCTTGATTTCTGCTACTTTTGCAAGCAAGGGAATAGCCACAGAAATCCAACTTATATGCATGGTATTTGGGTTTGTGGGATTTTTTTTTCTGAGACTAAGAATTGATGATTTTATTAAAAATAGTTTATTACACAAACTAGGTGTTGAGAATCTACAAGGCCTGGTCTCTGCTTGAAATTACTCAAATTCACTGTCTTACAGGGTGTGGGATCTAGGTTTGGATCAGTGAGGCAATTCAAAGACTAGAGATTATGGGGACCTCAAATGTGACGACTCTCATCACCCTGAAGGAGCTAATGCAAGACTGTGGGAGGGGAAAGGCTTGGGATGCAGAAGGACAATAAAGAGATAAGTTTTGGTCCCCTGTGGTACAGGCTGGTGACATAAGTATCAGCATGCCACCTAATCTTCAGAACATCAGATCATTCATATTTAGGGTGAAGATTGTGACGCTTGCATCACAAAAAATTTATGCAGGTTTTATGAGACAATGGATATAAAAATACTGGGCGGGCATCACTCAGAAAAGCCTGTGTGAGAACTTGGAAGAGCTCTCTCTCTAAGACTCACAGTTTCTTTCTGACTCAAAGCTGTGTCCTGCCCCAAGCAGCCTTTAATCTGAATCTACCAAGTGCCCGTTCATTTATCAAGAGACTCCAAAAGTTGATGGCTCACCTTCTCAGCTTCTGTGAGCTCAGTCCTTAGCCACCGACTTGATTTGAATGGAGCCTATCAAATCCGGACTGTTTCACATCAGAACACTGAAGGAACGATAACATTCTCTCATTTCTATGAATTTTTCATTTTATTCCAGCAGAGGCAAAACCGCATCATGTGGGTCAAATCTCAGTCTTTATGGGTTTGAACAGAAGGTCGGAAGAATGTGTTTCAACTTCCATTTGCAATTCAACTACAGCCTCCATGGGAGCCTTGAGCGGCCTTCACTCCCCACACTCTGCTATCTTCAGAGCATCAGGAGAATCGAGCAGCCAGCTGCAATGCGCGCTGTCAGGAATTATATTCTTTCCTCAGACCTTAAAATTATTTGAGCC